TCGAAACAATTAATGTTTGAAAAAATTTAGTGCAGGTAAGTTGATAAATTGGGAGCTCCATAAGTAATTCTTAAATAAATTTAATGGTATCGCATGCCATTCAAAAGCTTGTTTATCTAAATCCAATATATATCAAACTCCAATCTCAAGTGCAGTACACTATAAATATGTAAAGAATTCTAAGTTTTCTGCAATTTAAGGACTATCTGCCAGATAAATAGATGATAACATATTTTCTCTTGAAAATAACAAAAGTAAATGGGTTGCTCACTCTTTTGATCGCGTAATGAGAGAAATTTGCAATATTAGAAATGTCGTGTATGTGGTGTCTGAGGTAGCCAACATGATCATCTTGATATATAAGTGGTGCTATGTACTGAAGAAAGATTGCACGATCTACCAAATTCTTGAAAGGTTTTGAAGATCATTGTATGCAATTATCCACTTTGTGTTATTTTAGTAAAAATCACTGAAAACTGTTCTTAATATTAATCTTACGCTTTCTAACCTTGCCACGACTGTCTGGAATAAATATACTTCAAACCCTACGCATAGTACATGCACACCTCATGTAAGCTGTGTAAATCTTATAAATAACTAAATCTTTATTTAGTATTAAGTAATACATATAAATGACTCAGATCTAAGAACTGAAAAACAAAAGGAAAAATTACAATCAATTATAGATTCCAGGATGGCAAATGAATTTCATAAAATCTGGTCTGAACTTCGTAATAGCATAATTAATCACGGCAACCCAGCAACAATATAAAAACTATACCTGAGAATTTCGTTGTAAAAACGTAAACTTCAGAAGTTGATCGGTTTCAACATTTTTGTCATTCCGTGGGGTTGTATCAACCACTCCCTACTTCTAACAATAATTATGAATTCACTGCAATCGACCTTGCAATCACTTCCCGCCAATCTAATATGAAAGCTTGGGAAGTATAGTTGAAGAACACGGCTCTACCACTTAACTTCAATCTTCACTCCAATCAAATAGATATGCTAGCACTACGCTTTTCAACATATTCTACAAAGAGCGACAGCTCTGTCTTAAACAGCTATGAGATGGCTCGGAAACGCTGGCTTGCGTGGTTGCATTGGTCAAGGACAAGAATGTTTATCGGAATAATCCCGCAAGTTGTGGACTCGGCTCTGAACTAACACGATTTTTGAGAGACTTATTTTTAACTCGTGACTTATCTTAAAATAAGTACCATTATTTTAAATAAGTCAGTAGTTTTTACATTATATACCAATGGATGATGAGTCTAATTACCTAAGCTCACTTGTCTTGGCAAAAACATATATTGAAGTCGATTGTTTTTAAAGAATCAGTCCGTAACCTACTATTCTGTGTCTATAAGTTAACTTATTTCCTTTTCTTCAATAATATACTCGTTACATCATAATGATCTGTTTCAAATACTTCGTCATATATGTTGTTCTGAACGTCATACAGTAATTATGCTGCGTATTATTTGGTTCAACATGTGGTACACATGACTTGTTCCTACTTCAAATTATCCCGAATCATTGTATTTGTACCGACGAAGATTAGTTTAGCCTTGTTTAGGTTCAAAATAGGTGAAAGTAGTTAAAGACAATCCGATTGGTGACTTGTACCGAATGATGGTAATCGTAAGTGGGACCCTGATTTTTGGTACTTAAGTAAAAAGTACAGTCTTGTAAAATGTAAGACTCAGTATCGAACAACTTTACATCTTATTCTCGCGTTCGTACGCCTTATTTGTGATATACAAAGATACAAATGAATGCTACACAAGGAAGCGTCCGGTCATTAACAAAGCAAATATATGTAGAAGTATATATATATATAAAGCTTTAAAGCTTCGTAAGCTTGAAGAAATGAAAGGCGTGATTCAAATATTATTATTTGATTCATTTTTAAGCTTACACGTTTCTTTATACAGTTCCATATAATCTGATAAATGTTAATATTTAAATTTATCATAAATTGTCACATTGGCGTATATATCTATGTACGTGGCGATCACCAGGCGATAACAAACAGGTCTCAATATAAAGCTTTCAGTGACGGTCAAGTAGTTTAATAGCAGCATTTTACCTGAAATAAAATGCATATTAAAATACTTACCTCACTGAAAGCTTTCACTTTAAATTCTGCCTGGTGAAATAATTGAGCCAATGAGTTAATATGGCGCTGTCAAAACTTAGGAAAACAAAAATGGCCGCGCTTCTCCCAGGTGTCGCCACTGGACCGGATACAAGGTGAATAAAAGTACGGAAACTGATAGTAATTCGACGGGAAACGGAAGTGCTATCTCAATATAAAGCTTTCAGTGAGGTAAGTATTTTAATATGCATTTTATTTCAGGTAAAATGCTGCTATTAATATCAATAAACAAAATACTGTTTTTTAAACTCCGCACAAATCTCCCTATTTTATTATTTTCCAGCTATCAATTCCTGTCAACATTCCGTCTCTTTTCCAAATTACCTAATAAGCTGCCAGTATACACCAAAAATATCCGATCACTACAATACCTACCATTTATTACTCTCGTAAATTATTTCATAATGACATTTCATTTAATTCAATAATGTATGTAGTTTAGTCATTCATAATGTATGTAGTTAAGTAAGTAGATAGCCTAGTCTAGGAAACTACCTACCTATTATGTAGTTTTGTTTTTAACGTGAGTGTAGGTAGATTACTCGTTTGTCTCTTTTTTCACCCTATCCACTTATTTATATATTATTCTAGATATTTTGCCCGATGGAAAAATCGAAATACCTAAATAATAAAAACAAATTACGTACTAGTAGATAGGTATATAAAAAATATTCTATAGTCTTACCTTTCCAATATTTCAGGTAATTTAAAAAATGATATCTCTGGGTGCGTTATTAAAGAGTTCAACAACCAAAAACAGCACAATATCGTCGTTTGTTGTTTGCCATATTAAATTATGTAGGTATCTACTTAATTCAATCAAATATTTACAATACAAAACGCACGTTTAAGCACGGCTAACTGCATAAAAACAATTCACACCGTTTGGTCGTCGCTGGCGTATTCGCGTCTGGGTGTCCCCCGAGATTCCCCCGAACTCGAGTGGCTTAGGTATGATTCACTTTCCGACCGTTTGTATGAATATAGAATACTGTATATATTATTACCGTGCCAAAGGCCACATAATATCAAAGCCCTCAAATCCGCGGCTTGTTCCATACAAGAGAAAGTCTCTGAGCTTGCTAAGACTTCCGTCACTGAGGAGACGCGCAAGCTCAGAGAGGAAAATGTTCGGTTGCAGGCACAGATTCACGCAATGCGCAGAGAAATGTAAAAGCTTAGGGCTGAGCTCCGGATCTACGGAGTAGTCCTGTGGAGGAATGGGCGGTGATATGCAAGATGTCTCTGCTCAACCGGTGGACTGCATCGACGTGCGTTCGGCCGCAGGGTGAATCCGTCATCGACGTGTCCTACGCTTGGCAGTCTATCGAGCCGCTCGTATCGGACTGGCGGGTGTTGGAGGAGGTCTCGCAGAGAAACGCTCTCTGACCACCTATATATTAGGTTCAGCGTTCTTCCATCAGTGTAAACACCACGTCTAAAACCACGTCCTGCTTTCCGTGCTGGTCGAGGAGGCGGCCTTTATTGGTTCGGGGATTCCCTCCCCAGTCAGGGTATTGAGAAAAAGGCAGAATGGCTTCGCGACGTCCTCATCCGGATTTGTGTGTCCTCATCAGACGACGGGACGGGGCGGGCCGGTCAATTTCGCCGCGAATAATAGCACAAAGTGAATCCTATACTTCAAACGCACACAGAGGGCAAAAAGACCGCGCCTTGGGTGCCCGGCGGGCAGTGACGGCGCGGCATGTCCGCGGCTGCCCGCCGTGGATCATACAAACCAGTTTATATGCAGTAACGTAGACGGCGGCGCGGGGCGGTCAGCTCAGTCCGCGCCACGCGCTTTTTAGTGATGGACTATTCACTAGAACGAACGTCCTGAACTGACCGCCTCTGCCCGTCGTGTGCTTTGTGTACGCGGCGCGGGCAGCCGCAGACATCGACGGGCAGACGCGGTCTTTATTGCTTCGCGGACAAAATGCCCGCCCCGCCCCGTCGTCTGCTAAGCGCCTAAGTGTTTTCCCCCCAAAAAGTACTCGAGTGCATGAGGCGCACACGAAACATAGAAGAGGAAAACCATCTACTATAGTCCTACAATACCCCAAAAGGACCGTACAGACCCGTGGGAGAGACCTTACCGGATGGTCCGGAACAAGCACCGGATTACCACTACCTTGAGTAAATCTGTTCAGCCGGAGTCTTTGAACAGGTGTTAACATCTGTTGTCATAAGGCTTCGCTCGCCAAGAAATATCGGTGCAAAAGTCGGCTGTCTTGCAGTCCTCAGCCCCCATTGTCTCGGATGCCGAGTTCCAGCTATTAGGTGGCTCGGATTAAGAGTAGGTGAACTACGCCGGGCGGAAGTCCTATAAAATTCGGGTCGGGTAAAGCGATGTCACCACCAACTACCCTACGATGATTAACCGTTGCGAACGTGCATCTTGACCAGTCGATTAAATGTTCCACATGAATGGGACAAAAGTCTTCCCTATAGATGGAATAAGGCAAAAGATCCATACCTCCCACGCGACCTAAGTGTGGATTGATGGGTATGAATCACTGCAGATGCAGCCGAAACCAACGTCCTTATGTGCCTTCGAAGCGTTGAGGAGCTCGTGATGTCGTAACGTGAACCCTCAAGTAGCTTATATTCAAAAGACTGACGATTTGGCCAAAGTCATGGTCGTGTGTTGAATTTTTTTTTTGCTGCCCTAGACGTTCGACCCCACATTATGGTCTCAGTTATTTTGGGGAGTACGTCCGTCATAAGGTGCAAGGATGCCATCTATACGTTATTCTGCTGCGCTCCATTAAATTCCAAAATCCCCGCTTGGGCTCCCCTACTATTAGGAATTGATTTGTGTAATTAAAACACCCAACTTCCATCATTAATATACTTTATTAACACTAAGTTTTACAATTAGACTTATCAGAAGTAATCAAAGAGCTGCGTCGACGGGACCATTCGGTCAACTCGCAACATCTTATAGCTCACTTATTCATTCTCACTCACTCACTCATTCACTATAGTTATACTTCCCCTCGACGCAGTACTAGTACAGTACAATAATTTACAAAGCGGCTCGTATCCATGAGGAATTGCCGCGTTATATTATTTATATTTAAAGGTTACCTTTTTGTCAGATTCACGGTCAGATTAATCTGACCAACGGGAATGTTTGTTCCGCTGTTCGGAAAATTATTTGATTATTGGTTTTTAAAATTTGTTTAAAATTTTGGTTTATAACAAGATTTGAATGACATTATACAAAGAAATTTAAATAAATCTTTATATTTTAATTTCACCAAAAGAAGGCATGGCGTCAGCAATCATGGCAATTTCATTTCATAGAAGAGAAAGTATTATTTATACTAAATCATTAGCTTTTGCTCTGAGCAAATTAAAACAAAACTTCCCACTAGTCAAATATCTCTGACCATCAATCTCACCAACGGTAAAAACCTGTACGGTTTTAGTACAAAAAAGTTAGACAAGGTTTCAAACCTTGAATCATGCCATTTTTTCTTAAACCGTTGACAGCATGTCTAACTTTGTTGTGGTAATAACAGTAATATTCGTACAAATTTTAATTACCGATACAAAGTATTGAGAATTAGTAAATCACTGGTAACAAGTATTTATAACAAATGCTTGACACCGTAGATTGACCCTTAAACCTTACACGGCAGTAAGCGTAAGAACTGCTTTGGATCTGCAAGATCAATATATCTTTTTGAGATTGACCACATCAGTTGTGCATTATAATAAACAACGACGTCATAAAATTAATAGTGTACGTAAACAATATTGACGTACATACGGGCTGGCTGGTAATCTGTCAATTTTGTTTATATTGACAGAATGCCAGCCCATTGTCTCCAATCTTTTATAAAATTGCCCCACTATCAAATATAGATTTTTTAAATTTTGATCACCTGGCCGGACATTTCCAATACAGTTCATCAGCGTATTGCTGTTACTTTATGTCTCATATCATGTAAGAAAATTCATTTACAAAAAAATACAAAAAAAATATATCTTTCAACCGATTCCATATGTTTAGTTTTATTCCCGCAATAGAATCGGTAATCTGTCACGGTTTTTATCAATCAGATAGCCTATATAATTATATACAATAATCGTGGACAAGCACGTGAATATCAAACGATTTGACGCCCAAATCGTCATAGTCATGTTGAACGGAACAAAAAACATTATGACGAGAGACACTTGTATATCGTCCCTGGTAATGGTAAAACATCGCTCAATCTCTCAATCAATAATAAAAACAACGACAATAAAAAAAATACTTGGCTGGTACAGACAGGTAGTTACCAAAAACTGTAAAATGTCTACAACTCATATTGATGTTAATAAATCTTGATACACTGTTCACAATCTATTGAGAAATTTTGATTGGTTTGAGGTTAATATGAAGTATGGTTGTCTGTACTACACATGTGGGAGGCTATTCTTTTCTATAGCAATCGATTTTTCTGATAACAAACTTATAAAATAAGTTATTTAGAACATTCAGTGCTATTTATAAAAATGTTTAAAGAAATAGCTAGTTTTATCCAAAAAGGGGAAAATATAAAGGTTTCCTACTGATGCTTGTTCGTTTCGTTTCCGAATCTACCAAATGCAAGTATTAAATGGTCAAACGGACAGCAACATGTATAAAACCTTTCGTCGGCAATGTGGTGACGAATAACAGTATTTACCTACAGAATACATAACGAAGGTACAGATGAAAATTACAAACTGCTTCACTAACCAGCGTCTAATATAAATCATATTTGGTAGTGGATTGTATTGTCACGTGATATTTATTGCCTTTGATTATATACACGACCAGATAGATAGAGATCCAAATAAACCACGCAAACAAAACGGCTCATGTTACGCGCAATGTGTGCCTGCCTCTAATGTCAGATTGTTTGAAAGAAGTCAATGTGTGCGTGTGTGGCGACGAGCGTATCTACCATATATAGTAGATATGTTTGGGCCACTTCCGTGCAGTTAATACGATATCAAAGCGTGTATATTATCAAAATTATACCATTTTAAATACATATTGTAACAACAAATCAATGGAAATTAATCAATATCACATACGAATCGGAAAACATGTTGACATTATCCAATAATTAATTCATACTTTTCAATTTATAGCCGGCTCAAGTTTATTAATAGAAATGAATTTTATCATAAAACAAATCGTAAAAATCTAAGCCACCCGCTTTGATTGGGTAGAAGAGGTAGTGGTCGGAAAGCTCTAAAGTTAACATTATTCATTTTTATAATCAAAATTCATATCAAAGTATTTACAATACTTTTATAGAGACTTTTATACACAAATATCCTGTAACTGAAAAAGAAAATACAAAGATATAACTCTAGCTATATCGTTACTATGGTTTGTAATCGAAAAAAGGTACAATAGGCTATTTGACAGTAAAAAAAATAAAGTACTATTTAACATGAATATTAGCGATTTCACTACTCACAAAGTAAATAAAAAAGTATTTGATAATATTACTAAAAATCATGAAATATAAAAGTATTTTTTAACTATTGCCACGTGACCGAAAACGCCTAGGATTGGCGGATCTTAAAATGACGTCACCTGCTTGTAAACATGCTGTTGAAGTGACATTACTTTGTACTGTTCGACGAATTAACGAGAGCCGTGACGTCACCTGCCCGCAACACGCGATATTTGCTAGAGAAACCTTTCCGCGCTATATTTGAAAACATATTTTTTTATTTTATTCTTTTTACTAATTTTACTCAACATACTTATAAATATCCACTTCATGAAGTCATTGTAAACTAATAAATAACGTATAACGTCTTCATACTTGTGAAACAGCCTATTGGATATCGTTTGAGTTATATTTATTACGTATTGAAATAAGAGTACAGTATCGTCAGCGCTTATAGCTACGCGTAGTAGCAGCCATACAATGAGGGCTATCGCGTCTGAAACCGCCGCTAGAGGCGCTTGTGTTGCATGAGGTCTCCGAAATGTCAAATGTTATAGCTAGGGGGTTGACTACGCGGTTTCTTTCTAATTAAAATAATAGTTGTGAATATTTGGTAATAAATCAGACTTATTATGGCAAATATGAATTACGTGTCAATGATTGTCAGTTATTTAAAAGCGGAGCTAAGAAAAAATATTGTCCTTTTTTCCGAACAAAACGGGACTGCGCAACACTGTGGCATGGGCGATTATGTTTAAGATACGATTCTTTTGTATTAAAATGTAAACTTTGATATCACGAGCGTGTTTAATAACTTTAAAAGTTACACTTCAGGACCTCACTCAACAGTGGCGCCATCTGGGGAGACAAAAAACGATAGCCCTCATTGAGTTTTACTTGATATTCATTTCGAAATGAAAATGCGAGACTTATTTTCATTTAGTATTTTAAATACTTTTTTACAGAACGCATTTTCGGATCATTTAAAATATACATTTATTTAGAGTAGTAATGCGGCATGCTAAAGATGAACAGAAAAGTGTGTGGAGTTTTTTTATAAAAGTTACACTTTAAAATTACAACTGTTCATAGGTAAGGTTACCAATTGCATTTATTGAGTATCGTTTACAATTTTTCTTTGAGGATCATTCAAATACGACCCCTGATACACTAGTGTTATTCATAGTTATATCAAAGTTGGATAATTTCATTGGTCACTTGTTGTGTAGTCCGGCCCGTTTAGCCTCCAGTTCGTAGATGAGGAGTCTCCACATTTTTACTACGAAGACCTCGGCTTCTTCGTCCAATACCTGAATCAGAAACGATGTTTAAATTAACGAAACAAATAAAAACAATGCAATGAAATACATAAATTAATAAGTTTATTGAACACAGACAATCGTTTCAGTCATTTGTACATACATAAAGACACCGATCAGTACTGTTAACGAAAGGAGATTGCTCAGCTTCCATACATGTTTGGCCTAAAGACCAATAATCATGAAAAAATTTTTCCTAGATTCGCAATTATATATAAATTACTGTAGAAACGAATATTATTGACGGACACCCCTGAGAACTTCTATAAACCGTATACACTGAACATATTAAAATAATAAAAACAAATAAGTTATATAGTAAACTACGGAAATCAAGCCAAGTACCGAAATTATGGATTAGATTCAGGTATATAGAGCATGTAGATTAACAGATAGTTACCTGTTTTTAAAGTTAATGCATAAGAGCAACTTTTAAAATCAGGTGTCATTTCCGGTTATAATAAGGTACTCTGTGACAGAAACTGTGTGGTGATTGTGAATGAGCCACAGATTAGAGAGAATTTTTAAACTCTCGTTAACTAAAGAAAGCTAAGAGATTTAGGTTCTATAGCCATATATTCAGTAGCTTCATTATTTTTGTTATGTTTTTAAGATTACCATATTTTAGATTTTTAGTTAAAATTCTGTGTAAGTGTTTTAATTGGAATAAATTAATGGCTTTAAGTTGCACAAATAAATTATGATTGATTTGGTGTTAACAACTGTTGGCCAGACTGATATAAATTTGATTTGTATGGGTATTGTGTATACCATTTGCACGTCATCCAATATCCCCTGCGGCTGGGAGCCGGCCACCACCTTGCTGCATATGAAGTCGACCAGCGTCGGCTCGGGCTCACCGATATATTCTATTATTTTTTTGTTGATCCACGGACGGATCTTCTTTTCCATTAAAGCGTCGTCGATCTAGAATAATACAAGTCGACAGATGGTTACATAGATGGACAAACACTGATTGTCAAATATTCATGTATCGGATATATATAAACGCAGAGACCTAAAAGGTAGTAGAAAAACGGATATATATAAACGCAGAGACCTAAAAGGTAGTAGAAAAATCCGTTTCAATAACATTTTGGCCTAAGTTGAACGGAACCTTACAATAATTAGGTTTATATTTAAATTTATTTAGTATACAAATGTTTTGATAAATAATATAAATAAATATTTCCAACACTCACACCAATTAACCTAGCCCCAAAGTAAGCACTGTAAGGCTTGTGTTATGGGATGCTAGGGTAACGGATAGAATACATATACTGTACATATATAAGTTTATTTATATAGAAATACATATTAAACATCCAAGACTGGAGTACAAATGCTCGTATTCATCACACAAACATCTGCCCCGCCGGGATTCGAACCCGGGACCTCTCGAGTCGGCTACACCATGAAACCCGGCGTACAAACCACTCGACCACGGAGGTCGTTGATTAAATATAACAATTGAGAAATGAAGGTTTTCTGGAATGTCGGGCGCCAGGTGGCAGCACTGAGACAAAAGGTCTACTCAATCGTCAAATCACCCATGTCGTCGGTGTGATCCATACGATCAATATAATTGCTAGTTCGCTTCGCTCCGACTCGTGACAAAAACTCCATACAAAACAGCTCATGCTACAGTGGCGCCAACTGCCGCCAAAGTAAGCACTGTAAGGCATGTGTACGCAGCATCACTTTGCTCTCCTGTCAATAACTTCCGCAGTGTAAGCGATATAAGGTTATTTTTTGGTGTGTGTTACGTTTCTTGGTCCAGTAGTTTCGGAACCTATTCAATACAAAGAAACAAACAAATCTTTTCTCTTTATAATATTAGTATAGATATAGAGATTCTTTGATAGAACTAAAATGCTCAAATTTCTGCCAATCAATAGCCGATTACTGCTAGTAATAAAGTCTAGCCTAGAACCGTGAATAAGCATAAATATACATAATACCTGTGTTGTGTCCAATTTGTACTGGAACAACTGTTCCTTTTGCGTGGGGATTTTGTCGATGAGGCTCTTGATGTGTTTGCGTTTCTCTTCCGCACTCTTGTTGTCCTTTTCGCTCTCCCCTTTCTTGTTTTTGTCCTTCTCTTTCTTGTCTTTGCCCTCTTTGCCCGCTGCTCGAGTACAAAACGAATTATTAAGGCAAATATACATTAAAAGATTTTCTCTTACTAGTTTCTTTACTATTTATAAATCAAGTACTTTAAAGCTTCAATTAAGCAATATTTAAAAAGAAAACTTTAAAACAGAATACTCTAAATTGATGCAAAAAGTCATTATATTCCGATCTATGAATGAAACTAACGTAGAATGTTAATTTATTACTTGATTAAATTGGGGGATTAAAATATATCGCGTGGGGGATATATGACTCACAGTGTAGGTGCGTGTAGTGGGCGTGTGGGGGATATATGACTCACAGTGTAGGTGCGCGGAGGGCGTGGTGGGAGTGGCCGGTGAGTCATCATCGTCGGTGAAGGCGGCGTGTGGGGGATATATGACTCACAGTGTAGGTGCGTGTGGGGGATATATGACTCACAGTGTAGGTGCGTGTGGGGGATATATGACTCACAGTGTAGGTGCGTGTGGGGGATATATGACTCACAGTGTAGGTGCGCGGAGGGCGTGGTGGGAGTGGCCGGAGAGTCATCATCGTCGGTGAAGGCGGCGTGTGGGGGATATATGACTCACAGTGTAGGTGCGTGTGGGGGATATATGACTCACAGTGTAGGTGCGTGTGGGGGATATATGACTCACAGTGTAGGTGCGCGGAGGGCGTGGTGGGAGTGGCCGGAGAGTCATCATCGTCGGTGAAGGCGGCGTGTGGGGGATATATGACTCACAGTGTAGGTGCGTGTGGGGGATATATGACTCACAGTGTAGGTGCGTGTGGGGGATATATGACTCACAGTGTAGGTGCGTGTGGGGGATATATGACTCACAGTGTAGGTGCGCGGAGGGCGTGGTGGGTGTGGCCGGTGAGTCATCATCGTCGGTGAAGGCGGCGTGTGGGGGATATATGACTCACAGTGTAGGTGCGTGTGGGGGATATATGACTCACAGTGTAGGTGCGTGTGGGGGATATATGACTCACAGTGTAGGTGCGGGTGGGGGATATATGACTCACAGTGTAGGTGCGCGGAGGGCGTGGTGGGTGTGGCCGGAGAGTCATCATCGTCGGTGAAGGCGGCGTGTGGGGGATATATGACTCACAGTGTAGGTGCGTGTGGGGGATATATGACTCACAGTGTAGGTGCGCGGAGGGCGTGGTGGGAGTGGCCGGAGAGTCATCATCGTCGGTGAAGGCGGTGTGTGGGGGATATATGACTCACAGTGTAGGTGCGTGTGGGGGATATATGACTCACAGTGTAGGTGCGTGTGGGGGATATATGACTCACAGTGTAGGTGCGCGGAGGGCGTGGTGGGAGTGGCCGGAGAGTCATCATCGTCGGTGAAGGCGGCGTGTGGGGGATATATGACTCACAGTGTAGGTGCGTGTGGGGGATATATGACTCACAGTGTAGGTGCGTGTGGGGGATATATGACTCACAGTGTAGGTGCGTGTGGGGGATATATGACTCACAGTGTAGGTGCGCGGAGGGCGTGGTGGGTGTGGCCGGTGAGTCATCATCGTCGGTGAAGGCGGCGTGTGGGGGATATATGACTCACAGTGTAGGTGCGTGTGGGGGATATATGACTCACAGTGTAGGTGCGTGTGGGGGATATATGACTCACAGTGTAGGTGCGTGTGGGGGATATATGACTCACAGTGTAGGTGCGTGTGGGGGATATATGACTCACAGTGTAGGTGCGTGTGGGGGATATATGACTCACAGTGTAGGTGCGTGTGGGGGATATATGACTCACAGTGTAGGTGCGCGGAGGGCGTGGTGGGTGTGGCCGGTGAGTCATCATCGTCGGTGAAGGCGGCGTGTGGGGGATATATGACTCACAGTGTAGGTGCGTGTGGGGGATATATGACTCACAGTGTAGGTGCGTGTGGGGGATATATGACTCACAGTGTAGGTGCGCGGAGGGCGTGGTGGGTGTGGCCGGTGAGTCATCATCGTCGGTGAAGGCGGCGTGTGGGGGATATATGACTCACAGTGTAGGTGCGTGTGGGGGATATATGACTCACAGTGTAGGTGCGTGTGGGGGATATATGACTCACAGTGTAGGTGCGTGTGGGGGATATATGACTCACAGTGTAGGTGCGCGGAGGGCGTGGTGGGAGTGGCCGGAGAGTCATCATCGTCGGTGAAGGCGGCGTGTGGGGGATATATGACTCACAGTGTAGGTGCGTGTGGGGGATATATGACTCACAGTGTAGGTGCGTGTGGGGGATATATGACTCACAGTGTAGGTGCGGGTGGGGGATATATGACTCACAGTGTAGGTGCGCGGAGGGCGTGGTGGGTGTGGCCGGAGAGTCATCATCGTCGGTGAAGGCGGCGTGTGGGGGATATATGACTCACAGTGTAGGTGCGTGTGGGGGATATATGACTCACAGTGTAGGTGCGCGGAGGGCGTGGTGGGAGTGGCCGGAGAGTCATCATCGTCGGTGAAGGCGGTGTGTGGGGGATATATGACTCACAGTGTAGGTGCGTGTGGGGGATATATGACTCACAGTGTAGGTGCGTGTGGGGGATATATGACTCACAGTGTAGGTGCGCGGAGGGCGTGGTGGGAGTGGCCGGAGAGTCATCATCGTCGGTGAAGGCGGCGTGTGGGGGATATATGACTCACAGTGTAGGTGCGTGTGGGGGATATATGACTCACAGTGTAGGTGCGTGTGGGGGATATATGACTCACAGTGTAGGTGCGTGTGGGGGATATATGACTCACAGTGTAGGTGCGCGGAGGGCGTGGTGGGTGTGGCCGGTGAGTCATCATCGTCGGTGAAGGCGGCGTGTGGGGGATATATGACTCACAGTGTAGGTGCGTGTGGGGGATATATGACTCACAGTGTAGGTGCGTGTGGGGGATATATGACTCACAGTGTAGGTGCGTGTGGGGGATATATGACTCACAGTGTAGGTGCGTGTGGGGGATATATGACTCACAGTGTAGGTGCGTGTGGGGGATATATGACTCACAGTGTAGGTGCGTGTGGGGGATATATGACTCACAGTGTAGGTGCGTGTGGGGGATATATGACTCACAGTGTAGGTGCGCGGAGGGCGTGGTGGGTGTGGCCGGTGAGTCATCATCGTCGGTGAAGGCGGCGTGTGGGGGATATATGACTCACAGTGTAGGTGCGTGTGGGGGATATATGACTCACAGTGTAGGTGCGTGTGGGGGATATATGACTCACAGTGTAGGTGCGTGTGGGGGATATATGACTCACAGTGTAGGTGCGTGTGGGGGATATATGACTCACAGTGTAGGTGCGTGTGGGGGATATATGACTCACAGTGTAGGTGCGTGTGGGGGATATATGACTCACAGTGTAGGTGCGTGTGGGGGATATATGACTCACAGTGTAGGTGCGTGTGGGGGATATATGACTCACAGTGTAGGTGCGCGGAGGGCGTGGTGGGTGTGGCCGGTGAGTCATCATCGTCGGTGAAGGCGGCGTGTGGGGGATATATGACTCACAGTGTAGGTGCGTGTGGGGGATATATGACTCACAGTGTAGGTGCGTGTGGGGGATATATGACTCACAGTGTAGGTGCGTGTGGGGGATATATGACTCACAGTGTAGGTGCGCGGAGGGCGTGGTGGGAGTGGCCGGAGAGTCATCATCGTCGGTGAAGGCGGCGTGTGGGGGATATATGACTCACAGTGTAGGTGCGTGTGGGGGATATATGACTCACAGTGTAGGTGCGTGTGGGGGATATATGACTCACAGTGTAGGTGCGGGTGGGGGATATATGACTCACAGTGTAGGTGCGTGTGGGGGATATATGACTCACAGTGTAGGTGCGTGTGGGGGATATATGACTCACAGTGTAGGTGCGCGGAGGGCGTGGTGGGAGTGGCCGGAGAGTCATCATCGTCGGTGAAGGCGGTGTGTGGGGGATATATGACTCACAGTGTAGGTGCGTGTGGGGGATATATGACTCACAGTGTAGGTGCGTGTGGGGGATATATGACTCACAGTGTAGGTGCGCGGAGGGCGTGGTGGGAGTGGCCGGTGAGTCATCATCGTCGGTGAAGGCGGCGTGTGGGGGATATATGACTCACAGTGTAGGTGCGGGTGGGGGATATATGACTCACAGTGTAGGTGCGCGGAGGGCGTGGTGGGTGTGGCCGGAGAGTCATCATCGTCGGTGAAGGCGGCGTGTGGGGGATATATGACTCACAGTGTAGGTGCGTGTGGGGGATATATGACTCACAGTGTAGGTGCGTGTGGGGGATATATGACTCACAGTGTAGGTGCGCGGAGGGCGTGGTGGGAGTGGCCGGAGAGTCATCATCGTCGGTGAAGGCGGCGTGTGGGGGATATATGACTCACAGTGTAGGTGCGTGTGGGGGATATATGACTCACAGTGTAGGTGCGTGTGGGGGATATATGACTCACAGTGTAGGTGCGTGTGGGGGATATATGACTCACAGTGTAGGTGCGCGGAGGGCGTGGTGGGAGTGGCCGGAGAGTCATCATCGTCGGTGAAGGCGGCGTGTGGGGGATATATGACTCACAGTGTAGGTGCGTGTGGGGGATATATGACTCACAGTGTAGGTGCGTGTGGGGGATATATGACTCACAGTGTAGGTGCGTGTGGGGGATATATGACTCACAGTGTAGGTGCGCGGAGGGCGTGGTGGGAGTGGCCGGAGAGTCATCATCGTCGGTGAAGGCGGCGTGTGGGGGATATATGACTCACAGTGTAGGTGCGTGTGGGGGATATATGACTCACAGTGTAGGTGCGTGTGGGGGATATATGACTCACAGTGTAGGTGCGTGTGGGGGATATATGACTCACAGTGTAGGTGCGCGGAGGGCGTGGTGGGAGTGGCCGGAGAGTCATCATCGTCGGTGAAGGCGGCGTGTGGGGGATATATGACTCACAGTGTAGGTGCGTGTGGGGGATATATGACTCACAGTGTAGGTGCGTGTGGGGGATATATGACTCACAGTGTAGGTGCGCGGAGGGCGTGGTGGGAGTGGCCGGAGAGTCATCATCGTCGGTGAAGGCGGCGTGTGGGGGATATATGACTCACAGTGTAGGTGCGTGTGGGGGATATATGACTCACAGTGTAGGTGCGCGGAGGGCGTGGTGGGTGTGGCCGGAGAGTCATCATCGTCGGTGAAGGCGGCGTGTGGGGGATATATGACTCACAGTGTAGGTGCGTGTGGGGGATATATGACTCACAGTGTAGGTGCGTGTGGGGGATATATGACTCACAGTGTAGGTGCGCGGAGGGCGTGGTGGGAGTGGCCGGAGAGTCATCATCGTCGGTGAAGGCGGCGTGTGGGGGATATATGACTCACAGTGTAGGTGCGTGTGGGGGATATATGACTCACAGTGTAGGTGCGCGGAGGGCGTGGTGGGTGTGGCCGGAGAGTCATCATCGTCGGTGAAGGCGGCGTGTGGGGGATATATGACTCACAGTGTAGGTGCGTGTGGGGGATATATGACTCACAGTGTAGGTGCGTGTGGGGGATATATGACTCACAGTGTAGGTGCGCGGAGGGCGTGGTGGGAGTGGCCGGTGAGTCATCATCGTCGGTGAAGGCGGCGTGTGGGGGATATATGACTCACAGTGTAGGTGCGCGGAGGGCGTGGTGGGAGTGGCCGGTGAGTCATCATCGTCGGTGAAGGCGGCGTGTGGGGGATATATGACTCACAGTGTAGGTGCGTGTGGGGGATATATGACTCACAGTGTAGGTGCGTGTGGGGGATATATGACTCACAGTGTAGGTGCGCGGAGGGCGTGGTGGGTGTGGCCGGAGAGTCATCATCGTCGGTGAAGGCGGCGTGTCGGCGCGACACCCGCGGCTGCTGACTCTCCACCGCTATGGGGAACACAATAATACAATAATAATAACAACAACGCATTCCTATCGCATACACCAATCAGCCTAGCCCCAAAGTAAACAATGTAACGCTTGTATTTTAGGGTAGCGGATAGAATACATAGACCTCTTTATTAATAAATGACGACGATAAGCTTGGCTTAGTTCCTTCATGTTTTGTCTCTGTTCATTCAATAACAAATGGCATTTGAGTGAAATGAACAAAACTCGACATGACTAGTCTTAGCTTATTCCTTGTTTATTAATAACGAGAGACCTGCTTACATCCATGGGAATATTTATATAGAACTACATTTCATTGTACACTTGTATTGTGGGTAAACGAATATTAAAAGTTGTTAATGAGTCGATGTCATCGCCGATTAAACGTTATATTACGTGCTCCATATTTTATTTTTTAATGTCCTTGTAACTCCTCAAATAGAACATATTGGCGACAAAAAGTACTTCACGCGTGTTCAGAAATAAAGGGTGAATAAATTGTTAGCAAAATAATAATGTTCGGTGACGGAAGTTAAATGTGGTAGAGGTAGCCTCATATTTGACCACAGGGTTTAAGAGTGGAGCATAATTAAAGCACACAGTTTTGTGCAGCGAACGATATTGATAACGACACCGACAAAGCAGGACTGAAAAGAAGAGATTTGCTTCTAAATACCATGGTGGAACAACACTACCACGTCTTAAATGATTTGGTATTTCCGTCTTCAAACCTTTTTAAGCTTTGAGTTTCAGACCATGATACAAACATTTGAGAGCCATTTCTTATCTACGGCAAGTACTTTCGTGGAGAGATACAAATTTTATAAGGCAGAACAAACACCAGGCGAGGATTATCCGAATGGGCATCGCGAGTGAGGAATTAAGCTTTGTTTCGCAGGTTCAAATCTGAACTTGGGAAAAGTCGCAGGATGCTCTTGGAGTTTTCAGCGATTTATCTAAAGCCTTTGATTACGTTAATCATTAAACTTTGTTACAGAAATTAAATCATTAGGGCATAAAAGATGCCGCACAAAAATTAGTGCAATCATATTTAACAGAAAGGACACAGACAGTTGATATTAACGGTACAAAATCGACCGGATCGCATGTGAAAATAGGCGTTCCTCAAGTTTCAATTTTAGGTCCATTTCTTTTTTTAATTTACATTAATGTAATGTAATTCATACATAGACAATAAATTTTTAAAAATCTTCCAATGAAATAACCGAACGCTCAATATAAGTCTTTCGAAGGTAGCTCGACAATTTTAAATAAAAAAAAACATTATTCTGACGATGCAGACCTGAAAAGGCTGCGAAACGTCAATAAATAAATAAAGTTTCGTGTATTAACCCGTAAAAACTAGTTTTATTTAATGAGTGATGTGCGTGAAAACCTAAGAAACAAATATATTACATTAATGTGTTAACTTTCTTTGAAGAAAATTTTTGTGACATTGTTTTGTTTGCAGATGATACCTTACTAATTTTTAATATTGACAGATGTAAAACTAATTTTGAAGATGTAAACAATGCACTTTCTAAGGTACTTCACTGGTTCTCTACTAATAATTTTAAAACTTAATGCGAAAAAAATTAAATGTGTGAAATTTACTTTGCCGAATGTAAAGCATGCTGAAATGGGGGATATAATTCTAAATGGTGAAAAACTAGTTTTAGTCGATACAACCGTTTTCTTAAGCGTAACACTAGACAAACAAACTTCAATGGAACCCTCACATTACAACACTAGCCGGTAAACTTAGTTCTGCTGCTTATGCAATTTATAAAATAAGACGGCTTACAGATGTCGACACTGCTAGGATAATATACTTTAGCTACTTTCACAGCATTATGTCGTATGCCATTCTCTTGTAGGGCACGGCCGCTGACATTGAAACAGTTTTTATTCTCCAAAAACGAGCTATAAGAGCTATTTATCGCTTGGGATCTCGAACCTCTCTTAGGGATACATTTAAAGAAATAGGTATAATGACTGCTGCCTCTCAATACATTTACAATTGTATATTGTTTGTGCGTCAAAACATAAATTTATGTACGAGGCGCGATGATGTACATAATTTCAATACCAGAAATAAAGATAAACTAAAATTGCCACCTTTGAGACTCCAAAAGGTTCTTGGTTCATTTGTGGGTCAAGGTATATGTTACTATAATAAAATACCAAAAGAAATAATTTATTTACCTTTTAATAAGTTAAAAGTGTGTATGAAAACATGTCTCCTTAAAAAAGGTTACTATACTGTTAAAGATTTTATGAATGACTAGTGGCCCGCCCTCGCTTCGCTTCGGTGTTGAGCTGTAGTGTAGACTAAAATGACTCTTCATATAATAATAAAAAAAAACTGAAAATCGTATCAAATATAATTAGAATGCTCCGATCTGCTAAGCTATCAGGAATTACACGTGTTATTGTGAGTCAACCATAAAAGATAGACATATGCTGTTGCAGGATATTTTTTAGACAATTTTATGTAGAATATTTCCGTCATACATGATTTCTATGTAACTTTAACCATTAAGGCTGCACACGCGACGGAAGCTTAAAAAATGGAGTAACTTCTCCCGTTTTCCCAACATTTCCCTTCACTACTCTGCTCCTACTGATTGTAGCGTGATGAAAAGTAAACTATAACCTGCCCAGGAGTATGAAGAATAATTGTACCAAGTTTCGTTAAAATCCGATTTTTTCGTTTTTGTTTCTATAAGGAACATACACACAGACAGACAGACAGACAGACAAAAATTTTACTGATTGCATTTTTGGCATCAGTATCGATCACTAATCACCCCCTGATAGTTATTTTGAAAATATATTTCATGTACAGAATTGACCTCTCTACAGATTTATTATAAGTATAGATAAGGCACCTTGGGCTTAATATAATAGACTACGTTGTTTTACTTTGCTAGTCTGGTTGAAAGTTGTTTAATCGTCACTTCTTAATTTAAAGATAGTACCCAGCTATACTTAACTTTTATTAATTAATAATGTTAATGTGATGAAAATTGACATCAACACATGTTTTCAATTTTTGATGTCATCTTTCAATTGACAACTCTGTATGAAACAAAACAGGGAGAAAAAAATAGCCCTTGCTGCGCTTCTTGCCGGTTCTTCTCAGTACAAGGTCTCCCGCCGTAGATTTACGAACCGATAGCGTAGCGTTTGACTTTCACTGGAGCTTGTAACAGCATAGACTGAATAAATGAGTTTGAGTTTGAACTTGAATCTGCATTAAGAGGCCGATTTCTTCTTGGGCTAGAGTATACTAAAGAAAAGGAAAAGCTATTTGCGGAGCACATCGAAACTAAATTTCCATAAGGCTTTAGAGTTGGCGCGGATAGCTTTGCAAGTCGCGAGCCAAAGTGGTGTAACAACGACGGAATACAGTCGATGTCAATGCAGCCAGTGTTCGCGATACGTGCCGCAGCGCGCGGCCCTACCTGCGGCGTCATGAAAACATCTCAAGGTAAACAAAACAAGCGTTGTGCAGTGTGTGGCTATCGTAATCATATAAAAATGGTTGCCTGTAAAGTCGGTTTTACGGGCGAAGATTTTACGTGACAACGTCTTTTTCTCGGTAGAATATTTATTGATATGAATATAATTAAATTGCACAATAGGAACAAGGAATTGAATGAAAATAAGAATTGCACAAATTTTAACTATAGAAATATATTTTGTTTACTAAAACATTGTACATGTAAACTTAAACTTAACACGAGAGACTCATCGTAACGTTACCGAGCGTTACACTTTTTCATAAGTGACTCCCAGCCGCAACCTAATTTAAGACGTTGTCACGTCAAAAGAAGTGTCGTTTTATTAATAAATAAATGTCAAAAACGTAATCAACAAGGCCATTTAAAACGCATTACTCTATGGATGCGAACGATAACGACATATAAGAAGATAAACATAAACTATTTAATATTAAATGTAAAATGGATGACCCTATGCAGTACGTTGTGTCACTAGGCGGCCGGCCGGTGTTGTGTGAGATAGATAGCAGCAGTACCGTATTGCCAATTAGGTTTCATCGAACACATTTTAAACATGAATATTTCATGCATACGTTTTGTGTAGTATTAAAGTGTTACAACGGTAGTAAGATTTCTCCTCTATAATACATTATAATATTATCACGCGACTGGACCCGCACCAATATTGGTATCATTCGAAAGCCTATTAAATAAACTTAAAAACCATTTCATTTAATTAAAAAAAGCTCGATACCACAAATGTGACTTTAGAAAAGATGCCAATTTTGCTCCTCAAAAGGGCCACCAGTTGCGCTACTTTTAGGGGATATAAAAGGGTTAATAATAATAATTTCTTTATTTCAAGGGAAAGACCAGGTCCGGGTCAGGTCGGAGGCGATGTCAAACTCGCTCAACGCAGACGCCACCGCCTGCATCGGCTCCTCAATACGCCTCCACCACGCAGTTGCCAAGTCACAACCTACATTGGATGCCCTAACACCGGGGCTCGACAAACGGCGCATCCGCGGGAACGTCGGTAACACACGCGCGCTGCTCAAGACAATACGCCATCGCTTACTATTGTTACGTGTCGGGATGGGGTTTGAAATTATATGCTAGTATACGCTTGACAGTTCTTTATTCACCACTCATTTCATACAATTAACACACAATGTTAATTACAAAACACTTACTAAACACCGTATTTCACTATACAAGTCTCTAAACAATCTCACTTGAACACTTTTGTTGTTCTTTGATCGCCTTTGGATTCGCTCCGAAATCGCTGTTGAAACTAAACTGTCTCTGCGCGGCCCAAACGCGCTTATATACGCCGATCGACGCATTCTAGAAAGTACCTGTTAAGTTGAGAATTAGCTAGAACTCGCGAGTATGAAGTGCCTACTTATACCTACGCAGGTAACGCGCATAACTTGTAAACAAGTGCAGATGTCGTTGCACTTTCTCTCTTACGACACACTGCATAGGGCTCATTTTAGAACGAGCCGCATCACTCGACCTCTATCGCAACCTGCGGTGCTCTGGCAAATTTGACCTCTAGCACTTTCGCGGTTACGTTTCGAGAGCGTCTGTGACACTATCTTAAGCGGGCCGTTCTTGCGGTTACCCGAGGTCAAATATTTCGGAGTCATTATCGACCTCAATTTACGCCGCTACGTTAACAACATTGCGGCCCAAACAAAAGCGGCCCGAACGCGACTCAAAACAAACATTAATAAAACGTACATCCGACCGTTTGTAACTTACGCTGGTCGCGGAGACTTACGGGGAGCGCCTGCGCAGTCACCAATGCGGGCCGTCTCGTGCGAAACTCCACCCTGCACAGGGAGCTCAGAGCGGAGCCGCTGGAGGAGTCGATAACGAGCCTCGCCAACACAATGTACGGTCCGGCGACACACCGGAGGCGCCGGCACCTGCCGCGTACCAAGGCTCCTGGTCCTCACGGGAGAGAGCCCGGACCGAGACACCTGTCGCCGGACCGGCCCCCGAAATGTTCCGACCCATCACCGCTTGGATAACATGGCCCCGCAACACGGCGGCCGACCGATTGATCGACCCCGTAATGCTGGGCACCATAACAGGGCACCGCCTACTTAACAAGCATCCACTAACCATACGTGTTACAGATAGCTCTCTATGCAGAGGATGTCTGAAAGCGGATGAAACGGCCGCACATGTGATCCTGGAATGCATGAGCGTAGCGGAACACCGGGCATCGATCCTCAGGAAGCCGAGGACGCTCCTGGAAGCCTGCGAGAGTCCCAGGAGACTACTGCGCTTCTGGAAGGAGCTGGGCTGGCTGAGCTAGCTAGTCCGATATACCCTGCGCGCACGATGGACCAAATACGGTGTCTACGTGCGGAAACGGGGGCCCACAACAAGTAACAAGTGACAACCCCGACCTCGACTCATCACCTACACTGGACTGAATAGAAAAAAAAAACTGTTTTTAATTAAGGCTTAATAAAGGATTTTTATTGTTTTGTGAACTTTATTTTATTTTGCATTGTTTTCAATAAAAAAAATGAATTAAATTGTTTTTTTAAATTTATTTAATCGGATTTCAAATGACACTAATATTGGTGAGGGGTAAATGCGTGTGTTAAGGAAAAAAACGCTTGAAAGTTATTTTCGCGGAGGTGCGATTTTTTTATTTCATATTATTTCTAATTCGTTTACATTACCGTATGTGTATTGTGCCGGTACTTCCCTTGACTTCATCCTTGGTATTTGTAAACTTGACATTAGTCCGTCCTTTTCATTCCTTATAAAGCATGAGCAGGACAGATTGTTATCGAGTTTATAAATAGCAGATACGAATAGCTAAGTGAAGTGCCGGTATTATAGTTTTATTTAATCCCATGAAAAAGAGTTATCATAATATATTTTTTGCCATAATCATTTTATTATAGTAATAAGAAGGTTTGTTACCATGTACTTTGCTTTTTGCGAGAACCCAATATTTTTTAGCAATAAAGTCTAATTGACAAAAAGTTAGAGATAAAAAAAATCAAAAGTAAAAGGCAGGTTATAAGAATAATAGTTTAATCGATATTCAATACAAATTTAAATTTTCGATATGTTAAAAAACTAAAAAATACTACTTAATTATTTACCCATGACTGTATTAAAAATGACCTAGAAAATAATTTTCTAATAAGGGTTTCATGGTGTCGTCAATTTGAGAGGTCCCGGGTTCGAATCCCGGTGGGGGCAGATGTTTGTGTGATGAATACGAGCATTTGTACTCCAGTCATGGATGTTTAATATGTATTTCTATATAAGTAACTTATAAATGCACAGTATATGTATTGTATCCGTTACCTTGGTATCCCATTACACAGGCCTTACAGTGCTTACATTGGGGCTAGGTTAGTTGGTGGAAGTGTTGGAAATATTTATTTATTTTATAATGCTTTAGTTATTTTCTATTTGTTGTTTTACAATAAATAACGAAATAAATAGATTATGCATTTGAATTTTGAGAACGAAACGAAAGGAAAGGCAGAGCAATTACTATTATCCGTCAAAATAGTTTTAAAGCAAATAACCTTCGATGTTTAGTGTGGATGATAGATAATACGTTTATGATGTGTAACATATTTCCTCTCGCTTTCCTGCAATTTGTGGGAGTGATTTCGTGAAATGGGACAGAAGTGTAAAACAGGAAGTCGCGAAAGCGCGCGCTTTTTGATTGATTTTAGAACATAATGTTCAAATGGCTTATTCCTTTTGTAGTAGGTTTTATTTCTTTTTTTACTAATATAAGGTGAGGTTTCAAATGTTACACGTCATACACGACTACTGTGAGGCTCGCTCGTTTTTTTTAATATGTATGCTATTTGGTCGCAGATGACCTTTACAGCGTCACCGGGTTTGGGTACGGCGAGATCCTAAGGGGACCTCAAGCCAAGAATTGGTTCATGCCTCTACAGCCTGGGTTTCGAACCTGGGGGTAAATCAGCCATACTTTGGGGGTAACATAAAGAACCTAATTATTTGGTTAAATTTAAATAATAAGAAAATACTATATAATAATACTACTAAATAGAGCATGCGCTCCTTTTTGCTAGCGAGCCCGCGGGGTGCCGAGTGTGGGAAGCGGGGCGAGATTTTCTCCCGATGATGACATTATTAGAGACGAAGATGTAGCGGTCAAATTGGAATTTCTTGGACCGATGATAACATTTTAAAGTCGGGGTAAAATCTGTTTTTCTAATAGGTCACAGGGGTAGCAGTATCGGAAAGGTTAGGAAACACTGGTCTAGAGGTATTCCAGGCGGATGGCATCTACCCACGGGGGGAGTTTGTTCTCCGTCTCCGTGTGGAGCCTGTAGACTAGACCAGGGGAACGTGTGGGGCGAGGGATAATACGTACGCTGGTTGAGTTCCCCTTGCGCGGGGCTGCCGGGGGCGGGGTTAACGGGTGCCGCGGGGTGGCCTGGCGCGGGCGCGGGGGCGGCGCGGGACTTGTTGAAGCTGATGGTGATGGGGGAGCTGCCCGTCGACGTCTGACCGCCGCTCTACAATCACAAACAACCATTCACACCTTTCCACAGTAGAGTATTGGCTAATTTAAAAACTATCCTACGTTATTAACCTTGCTAGTGTTTATGGAGTCCATAAAAAGTAAATATTCATTTCCTAGCTATAAAAGAAAGAGAGAAAGAAAATGTGCGCGCTCTCTGCTTATATCCCCCCCTCGACTCCCGTTCGCCTGAACCGATCACACATTTCGTAACGCGTTCGCTAGCTTCCTCCCCGAGTCGAGCGCGCGTTAAGAAGTTTCACTTCAAAAACTAAATTCAAAAAACGTTTCTCTGGACATTATAGCGTCTCCCTAGTGTATGACGTTACCCGGCTGAAATTAAAACGTCCAACGATACGATGTAATGTCGCTTTACTCGAAAGTTTACTGCAGTCGGACCGCGATAAGTCTGCAGTAGACTGTCAACTTTACTAAAGCTTGTTTTAATTAAATCGTAATTTAGCAAAATAGCTGAAAGTGACCCAAAAATAACATGATGATAACGTAAATGACATCACACGATAGATAACTTGCGGTCAAAGTGACGTAACATGGTATCTTTTGCCGTTTTATTGGCAGTCATATGACGTCACATACCCGTGAAATGCCATAATGTAAAAAACCGTTTTCACGACAACTTGAGCATGGAATTTATTGTTTACTTTTTTTTTTACGGAAATACACAAAAGAATGATGAATATCCACTTTCATGGACTTCATAAACATTAATAAATAACTTGATATCGTTTTCTAAGACTTGTTAAGTACCTTACTTCAATTTATCTTTATTTCAAACTATATTATTAAGATATCTTTTATTATTGTTACATTTAAGTAATTTCCTTATTTTTTGGTATGGTAACAAAATACAAATCAACATTATTACAACAAAAATATTAGGAAGTACACATTATTCAACATGCACAAATAATATTTTATCAGCCTTTTTAGTACTTCACTAAGAATATATCAAGTTCAAGGCCCTTACATAAAAAAATATTATTTCCGACACACGACACCTGATTTCTTGCAAATTGTATAAAAACAGATGCTATCTACGAACTGATTTAACTTAAAATCTAATAAAACATTTATTATTAATAGATTCTGGTGAAAATATATAGATAATGATGGTGACACTCACAGGTCGCCTCGAGTGCGGCTCTGAAGGCGGCCGGGGCGGCGTGGCGCCGCCTTCTTCTGAACTCTGCAACGACATAAACCGATATTACTCACAATTATAATAATGTAGCCCTAAACAAAGTTGCTACAATTTAAGATATTAATATAATTTATAGCTTGTAATATCTTTACAAGCAATAAATTAATTTTCAACACATTTCCTAACAAAATGCATTAACAGAGGTTGTATACATTGTTCGAAAGTTCAAAATTACGGGCCATACAACGGAGCATGCGGTAAAACGTTTTACTGCACGCTCCCATACATTAGTTTCTTTTTAATTTCCGGCCGAACCTCCTTGGAAACGCCTTTAATCTATTCTTTGTCTCATTTTAATACTAAAAAGAAAAAGAGTTAAAGTAGTTCTAACTTTCACCAACCGCAGGTGGGACTTTTTGGCGGGATCGGGAAGCGTCACATTAGCAGTTTTGCTTTTCTTGTTAAAAATTGCGTTGTGGCGGATGTTAGTGTCTAATAATGGTGGATTATTAACCACTAAGTGTTCGGGAACATGCACAAGTGTTGGCAAGTGAAACAAAATAGCGGAATTGGTATTCAAAACCTCGACTAGTTTATTTATTTATCTTTAACAAAGTTTCTACAACAATTTTTGTGGAAGTAATACAATAAAATATAAATACAATGTTAAGGCCAATTAGAGAAACTTATCATGTGCACATTAGATACTTAAGGCGTTACTATACAGGATGGTCCAACTAGTGACGTCAACAAGTTTTTTTAGATTCCTCGCACCTGTGGGTATCCAGAATTCGAGTCATATTTTTTTTGTGTATTTTTTAATGATTTCTGCCAGCGAGGTTTCAAAAATTGATATATTTTTTCGTAGTAGGTATTTTGCAGTCTTTTTTTTGTGACATAATTGTTTTGAACGTTGTTTTATTAAAAAAAAAGTCAACTTCCTGAAATTACTTAAACTTACTCAAAAAAGGCTTGAAAGTTGGAACTTTAGTTTTTAGTAAGATTTACTCAAACATTCAACTTCAATTTAAAAATACAAAAAGGAGTATCATAGCTTATGGTTAAGTTTGAAAACTCCGCATGCTTCTAAACTACTAAAAATCATAAAAAAAATAGTACTTAATCGGTCTATTTTTGTTGTAATTGGCCTCCGAAGGCGGATAGGCTAAAAATCATTGAAACACGATTAAAATGGCTAGTTGGGAAATTACCTGTTTTTTTGATAACAAATAAAAAGCACAAATACTGAAAAATTACTATTTATAACAGTAAATTTTCAAAACTCCTTCCTCCAACCTGAATACATAATTGACAATGTCTTAAAAAGTTATGTTTTAATTTATTATAGATTAAGTATTTTTTTTTTAATGATTTTTGGTAGTATAGAAGCATGCGGAGTTTTTAAATTAACCAGAGCTTATGGAAAATTCATTTTGTATTTTTAAATTAAAGTTGAATGTTTGAGTAGATCCTACTAAAAACTTAAGTTCCAACTTTCAAGCCTTTTTTGAGTAATTCCAGGAAGCTCAGTTTTATTTTTTATTAAAACAACATTCAAAACAATTATTTCACAAAAAAAGACTGCAAAATACCTACTATGAAAAAAGATATGAATTTTCTAAACCTCGCTGGCAGAAATCATTAAAAATACACAAAAATATTATTTAACTGGAAAAGTGAGAAAAATCGCAGAACATACATGGATATCCCCAGGTGCGAGGAATCTAAAAGAAATTTGTTGACGTCATTAGTTGGATCACCCTGTATATCAATATCACATTTAATTTAAAAATAGTATATAAATCATTTAATTATGTATTTGCTCTCTGCTTTATATTTGAATTGTTTGATTGCGTGGGTGTGTGTATGCGTGCGTGTGCCTATATCGTCTAGTGTAGAGTGTAGTGTAGTGTAGTGTAGTGTAGAGCACTCACGTCTGGGGTCTGCGGCGTCAGCGGCGGCTGCGGCGGCGTGTGGTGCCGGTGGTGACGCCGGGGCTTGCGGGCCTCCACCTCCCCCCCCTCCGACGGGGCCTCCCCCCCCTCCAGCGGGTCCGCGCCCCCGCTGCAATACGGTACAACTATACTATAGACGCGGTGACGCCGGGGCTTGCGGGCCTCCACCTCCCCCCCCTCCGACGGGGCCTCCCCCCCCTCCAGCGGGTCCGCGCCCCCGCTGCAATACGGTACAACTATACTATAGACGCGGTGACGCCGGGGCTTGCGGGCCTCCACCTCCCCCCCCTCCGACGGGGCCTCCCCCCCCTCCAGCGGGTCCGCGCCCCCGCTGCAATACGGTACAACTATACTATAGACGCGGTGACGCCGGGGCTTGCGGGCCTCCACCTCCCCCCCCTCCGACGGGGCCTCCCCCCCCTCCAGCGGGTCCGCGCCCCCGCTGCAATACGGTACAACTATACTATAGACGCGGTGACGCCGGGGCTTGCGGGCCTCCACCTCCCCCCCCTCCGACGGGGCCTCCCCCCCCTCCAGCGGGTCCGCGCCCCCGCTGCAATACGGTACAACTATACTATAGACGCGGTGACGCCGGGGCTTGCGGGCCTCCACCTCCCCCCCCTCCGACGGGGCCTCCCCCCCCTCCAGCGGGTCCGCGCCCCCGCTGCAATACGGTACAACTATACTATAGACGCGGTGACGCCGGGGCTTGCGGGCCTCCACCTCCCCCCCCTCCGACGGGGCCTCCCCCCCCTCCAGCGGGTCCGCGCCCCCGCTGCAATACGGTACAACTATACTATAGACACGGTGACGCCGGGGCTTGCGGGCCTCCACCTCCCCCCCCTCCGACGGGGCCTCCCCCCCCTCCAGCGGGTCATAAATAGGGAAGATGCAATATTTTTATTTTTGTATTCATTTTAAAGAATTCCATGTAGAATTAACCACAGATATATTAAAAAATTAAAACATTGTGATTTATCGGAAAAAATGCGGTTTGAAATTGACAATTTAAATTTTCGCGCGAAAACGAATCTATGGTTGCGATGACGTCACTCCTGTCTGTCACTGGTCGTAATTGTTCGTTGCTGGCTTTAAATTTTCATACTTTTGCATATTTGTTCGACTTTCGAAATATTTTTTTGAAAAATTTAAAATGGACTATCCATCAACATCATGTGATCATAACAATACCACTAATATTCCGAAAAAAAGCCGTGTTGACTCATGTTTTGTGCCAATCTACTTCAACAAAGTTAGCACATAAATTGTTTTTAATTGGAAATTCTGACCCAAAACTGAAAAAAAAGTGGTTTCAAACTGCGAAGAGAAATGACAATTATTCTCCAAAGACCATTATTCGATGCTGAGAAGATCACTTTGACGTAAGTCGGCGAATATACTTGATAAATGCTTAATTAATCTGCTTGTACGTAAAAACGCATTAGTAACCTACCTAATACTTACAAAACCTGTCTATAACATATTTTTAATTTTACAGTTGGAGAATGACGTCGAAAATTAGATAAAGTTTAAAATGTGTAGCACAATCTTCACATTGGCAGGACTGAACCAAGCTTTGCGTTTCATTTAAAATAACTGTAACACGATAACCTTCTTTACGTACTTTATGCTCCGGAGAACTCGACCTTTTACTGTACATAATTTTCCATCTCTTTTAATTTGGACATAGCCGATTGCATTATCGCCGTAAGATTAATTTGTAGAAGCCGCTGAATAAAATAAGAAGTTTAACAACTACGATTTTTGCATACCGTAGTTATTTAGTCCCTTTCATTTCTACACTTAAAAACTCTGCACTTTGGACAAAAAAAGTTATAACCATGTCAACGCTAACTCTTGGTAAATTCCTGGAGTCTGCTTTGATAAACGCAACTTCCATTTTTATTAAATGTAAAAAAACGCAATAAATATTCCCATAAAATAATATTTACTTTAACAACCATAACCTCAAAGAAGTTGTCATAACAGGAGTGACGTCACTAAACACTGATTGGTGTTTTAAAATACGTTCCGTTTCAAGTATTTTTAATTCGTAATAATTGTTAAAAAACAACATTATGTAAAATAAAAACGTTGCGGTGGCATTTCTTTTATATTTTTCTAACATTTTAATCATAAAATTTTCGTAAATATTATATATGCATCTTCCCTATTGTAATTTATTAGACTCTGCTGTAGAACTTGGCAAGGTCTGTATTTAAGGATTCAGCATCATAAATTCCGACAGACATAGAGAACTATTTTATATAATAATTTAGGTAGTTTGCTAGACGTGTACTATCTCAAATACCGCTCCCTATCTCTTTCTGCTCCTGCCTAGCTTCCTTCCCAGCGTACTCTCTCTGTCTCGCTTTAACTTAGTATATTGGTGTATGTGTATGTGTGGTCACCTGTCATCAGAGTCGATGGGCTCCGCTTCACTGGGTAGTTGGCTAGAGGCGTGCTGCCTCAGATACCTCTCCCTGTCCCTCTCTGCCCTCTGGCGGGCCTCCCTCCTAGCCTCCTCTCTCTGTCTCGCTCGTTGTTGCTCTCTCTCCCGTTGGAGCTCCGCGTGAAGGGAGACGTCGATTAAAAGACGCGGTTTGTATTGTTCCTCGCGTTCGCGACGCGCCTATGGAAATGTACAAATTATATTCTATCAAACACGAAGAAACGAATTTTAAAACGATCGCACTTTTTAATGAATTGACCTGTAATCCTGAACAAATAAATCAGTTATGAATTTTAATTTAAACGTGATCTAAAGTTCAATACTGGTCAGTACTTTAGATCGCTGAAACTAAATAATATTCTTAAAATAATGATGATGACTCGAAAACGGGCCCATTGGAACGTTTTGTATAAGTAACATTAGAAGTTGGAAGATGGTTGGAACAGATTTTAAGCAAAATATCTATAGAAATAATAATTTCTTAAAAAGGAAATAATATAAAAAAAAACGCCCCCTCTCGATGGGCCGATGGTGGCATTTAAAACGCAATTACTATGAATGCAAAATATGGAAAAAATAAATGAACATGAATGGAAAAAATATAAAAAAAACATCCCATCTCTATGACAGCGATGGCGGCGGGGTCGTCGTCGGGCCTGGCGGCGAACAGTTCGCGCCGCAACGCGTCGAGCTCGTCATGTTCGCGAGCACGTTCGCGATATACGCACCTTCTCGAAGGCGGCGATGGCGGCGGGGTCGTCGTCGGGCCTGGCGGCGAACAGTTCGCGCCGCAACGCGTCGAGCTCGTCATGTTCGCGAGCACGTTCGCGGCGATCGCTCTCCGCTTCTCGGACGCGCGCGCTGAGCCGTCGCTGCAACTCTTTACCCCTGCGTAAACAAACATACATCAGTGGGGCGTTCGTGAATGGGATCTTCTTATGGCTAACGCTATAGCTTACAATTTCATACACTTATCGTAGTCGCGATTGTTCCCGTCTATCTATAGACTATCTGATCTTATGACACTTCATAAGCTTATTCATGGAAAATTGATTTGTCCAAATCTTATTAAACAGGTGAATATTAAAGTCCCTTATCTAATACCTAGACATCCGATTTCAAAAAGCTTTGATCTCCCTCGTGACAATACTAGACTTGGTGAGTATGCTCCTCTATACCGGTGTATGTGTACCTACAATAATTTATAAGACTGCAGTGTCCTCGTTTTCCACGATTCTGAGCGCGTATTAAGATTGTTTGTGGAAAAATTAAAATTGGACCGTAACACAGACTAAATAATATTATAATTCAGTATTCCTATTTTTCATGATGGTTTAGTTTATATGTATTTATGTGAATGCTGTATTCTCCTATAAAAAAGCATATCTTTAAGTATGGTTGTTGTGTTCACTACCAGCCCAAGCCGAGGGGACCGCGCAGTGGAAGTAAATTATTGTTTTGTCCCAACAAATACTTCAGCTGGGGCTTAGAACACAATAGCTCCTGCGATGACGCAGGGTTTACTTGAATAACTAAATGACTTACCAATTTGGATGTAAGTAAAGTTGTCTGTCGCTTTGGTATCTGCCTGAGAAATGGATAGGAAGGGATAGGAAGGCAGATCAATTCCTCTGGACTCTTCTCATCCAACAACCGCGCTTATAGCGATCCAAAAATGGGTTAGCACTCACAATCAATTTCACAAATCATGTACCTTACACAAACAACACTAGGATTCTTATAATTTAAGTTATTACTACAATATTACAATGAGATATCCGGTACAAACAAATCAAAGCCACATATAATCGGCGATGCAATTCGAACATGAACCTCACGAGTTCTCAAGACGCCATTACAGTGACAAAAAAAACGTTTTTACCCGCGCACGAAAAATAATTCAAATTATGCGGACACCGTACGGCAGTGAAGTTAGGGATGTGCCGTTTTATTCGTAACAATGGTATTTAATCATTTTTTCAAATTGTAGTGTGTTAAGACCGTAAAGCAGACGGGACACGAACCCGCATCCTTCTATGTATGTATGAAACCATGTCTATCTGATTGACGTAGGTTCCAGCTTCCATCCTCAGTGAAGGCATGAAACACAAAATTTCAGTATCTTGTAAGGTCATTGATCTCGATTGTACGTTAAGATGTATTGTGACGTCACATCTAAGCGTTCCAAAATAGCGTGTATTTAAACTGCCCATGCAAAGTGGCCACTTTTAACATTTTTAAGGCACTATACTATTTTTTCGACGTATTTTTTTATACTGTATAAAGGAGATGTAAACTAAAAAAATAAAATATTAAAAAACATGCACAATCCCTATTATGCTACCGCGGCTTTAACGGCCGTGTCGAATTTCCTCTAGTATTTATTAGGCAGCACGGCAGCGCCATCTCTTCCCATTTTTGGTAACCCACAGTGTGATATGAGTATAATAGTGAATACATACTTGTAGTACTTATGATCGTCCCGCTCGTCGTCGTAGTCCTCGAGGAACTCCTTGAGCCTCTTGGCCTCCCTCTCTCGCTCCTCCTCGCGGCATCGCTCCCTCTCTTTCTCCTTCTCGTACTCTTTGGCCTTGCGTCGCTCGCGGCCTTCCCAATTGCGTAACCTGACACAAACAGTATTGTATTAACTAAAACTTCTTTTTAACAGGTTTAAAATGTGTTTTTTAATACTTTTTTCGATATCTCTACGTTTCGCTTCCGTTACACTCTTGACGACGTATCATCATCATCATCATCAGCCTATTAATGTCCCCACTGCTGGGGCACAGGCCTTCCCTATGGATGGAACAGGGAGATTGGGCCGTGACCCACCACGCGGGCCCAGTGCGGATTGGCGGGTGCTAACGACTGCAGATGCAACCGGGACCAACGGCTTAACGTGCCTTCCGAAGCACGACTTGTAAATAAATAAATAAATATCAGACGACTCACATACATTGATCTGATTCTGAAATAAGTAGCAAAGCACTCGTGTTACGGATATCAGAATCAACAGTGGTATTACAAGTATATAAATAAATATATATATTTACACCCAGACACAGAACAAACACAAATGTTCATCACATGAATGTTTGTTCTGGGTGGGAATCGAGCCCACGACCCATGGCGCATAAGGCAGGGCAGCTACCAATGCGCCATCGAGCCCGTCATGTAAAGGATGCGAAACGTAGAGATATGTGAAAAAAAGTATTTTATCTACACTTACGTCAAAATATTCGAATTACGAAATTAAAAATAGTTTTATAAAGCCACATTTTGATTCATCAGACACATCTGTGTGTGTCCGTCGCTTGTCGTCTTGTTCAGTAATCAGTACGATGGCTCACCTCTCCTGGTAGGCGGCCTCCTTCTCCCTGGCCTTCTTCTCGAGCCGCTTCTTGTCGCGCGCCTCCTCCTCGAGCTCCTTCTCCCTGCGCGCGTCGAGGTCCGACCCTGTCCCTGTCCCTGTCCCTGTCCCTGTCTCACCTCTCCTGGTAGGCGGCCTCCTTCTCCCTGGCCTTCTTCTCGAGCCGCTTCTTGTCGCGCGCCTCCTCCTCGAGCTCCTTCTCCCTGCGCGCGTCGAGGTCCGACCCTGTCCCTGTCCCTGTCCCTGTCCCTGTCTCACCTCTCCTGGTAGGCGGCCTCCTTCTCCCTGGCCTTCTTCTCGAGCCGCTTCTTGTCGCGCGCCTCCTCCTCGAGCTCCTTCTCCCTGCGCGCGTCGAGGTCCGACCCTGTCCCTGTCCCTGTCCCTGTCCCTGTCCCTGTCTCACCTCTCCTGGTAGGCGGCCTCCTTCTCCCTGGCCTTCTTCTCGAGCCGCTTCTTGTCGCGCGCCTCCTCCTCGAGCTCCTTCTCCCTGCGCGCGTCGAGGTCCGACCCTGTCCCTGTCCCTGTCCCTGTCCCTGTCTCACCTCTCCTGGTAGGCGGCCTCCTTCTCCCTGGCCTTCTTCTCGAGCCGCTTCTTGTCGCGCGCCTCCTCCTCGAGCTCCTTCTCCCTGCGCGCGTCGAGGTCCGACCCTGTCCCTGTCCCTGTCCCTGTCCCTGTCTCACCTCTCCTGGTAGGCGGCCTCCTTCTCCCTGGCCTTCTTCTCGAGCCGCTTCTTGTCGCGCGCCTCCTCCTCGAGCTCCTTCTCCCTGCGCGCGTCGAGGTCCGACCCTGTCCCTGTCCCTGTCCCTGTCCCTGTCCCTGTCTCACCTCTCCTGGTAGGCGGCCTCCTTCTCCCTGGCCTTCTTCTCGAGCCGCTTCTTGTCGCGCGCCTCCTCCTCGAGCTCCTTCTCCCTGCGCGCGTCGAGGTCCGACCCTGTCCCTGTCCCTGTCCCTGTCCCTGTCTCACCTCTCCTGGTAGGCGGCCTCCTTCTCCCTGGCCTTCTTCTCGAGCCGCTTCTTGTCGCGCGCCTCCTCCTCGAGCTCCTTCTCCCTGCGCGCGTCGAGGTCCGACCCTGTCCCTGTCCCTGTCCCTGTCTCACCTCTCCTGGTAGGCGGCCTCCTTCTCCCTGGCCTTCTTCTCGAGCCGCTTCTTGTCGCGCGCCTCCTCCTCGAGCTCCTTCTCCCTGCGCGCGTCGAGGTCCGACCCTGTCCCTGTCCCTGTCCCTGTCCCTGTCTCACCTCTCCTGGTAGGCGGCCTCCTTCTCCCTGGCCTTCTTCTCGAGCCGCTTCTTGTCGCGCGCCTCCTCCTCGAGCTCCTTCTCCCTGCGCGCGTCGAGGTCCGACCCTGTCCCTGTCCCTGTCCCTGTCCCTGTCTCACCTCTCCTGGTAGGCGGCCTCCTTCTCCCTGGCCTTCTTCTCGAGCCGCTTCTTGTCGCGCGCCTCCTCCTCGAGCTCCTTCTCCCTGCGCGCGTCGAGGTCCGACCCTGTCCCTGTCCCTGTCCCTGTCCCTGTCTCACCTCTCCTGGTAGGCGGCCTCCTTCTCCCTGGCCTTCTTCTCGAGCCGCTTCTTGTCGCGCGCCTCCTCCTCGAGCTCCTTCTCCCTGCGCGCGTCGAGGTCCCCGCGCCGCGGCCCGCGCCCGCGCGACCCGGACCGCTCCCTCTCCCTGTCCCTGTCCCTGTCTCGCTCCCTCTCCCTGTCTCTCTCCCTCTCGCGATCTCGTTCGCGGTCGCGTTCGCGTTCGCGCTCGCGTTCACGTTCGCGCTCGCGCTCTCGCTCCCTACAAGAAGGTGAAAATGATTTTTTTAAATAAGTCATTCGCTTAGACCTGTTTTGAATTGATTGATGTTTAATTTCTTTAGGTCATTGGGTATATTATCAAATATTTACATGTACATACAGTTTTTGTTGAGCTGCATAGTTTTTGGTATTTCTCAGAGTACTAATATATTGTGATCTCGTGTGTTTCTGGGGTATATCTCAAATGCTTTCGTAAATAGTGACCTATTTTGCATTACAAATAAACATATTTCATAAATATAAAGCGATGTCAAAGTTAATAGCTGTAGGTCAGCGAAAACAGGACAGCATGATGTTTGTAGAGGAACACCACGTGTTGCTCTAAGGCATTTTTTGGGCAATAAAAGCTCCATAATCATATAATAATTGCCATAGCGTCAAACAGATCCGACATATGCATGATATACAGAAACAGCAGTTTTTATATTTGTTACAGACCTTACTTGTTTTAACAAAATTATTATTAACTCTATTACATATATCATCTATATGCGCTTTCCAATTTAAATCTTGATTTATAGTCAATCCTAGAAATCTTGTTAGTTTTACTTCGTCAATTTGTTATCTCTATAGTGAATGTCAAAGTTAATATTTTAAATTTTATTAAATTTTATAATATTCGTTTTAGCAAAAAATATTAATAAGTTGTGTAATGTCAAGCCGTTTAATTAAATTATTAATAGTATTATTTATGTGAACATGAATGTGTCATGATCGCTAATTGTACCATTCATCATCATCATCAACATATTAACGTCCCTTTGCTGCTGGGGCACAGGCCTTCCCTATGGATGGAATAGGGCGATTGGACCCACCACGCGGGCCCAGTGCGGATTGGCGGGTGCTAACGACTGCAGTTGCAGCCGGACCAACGGTTTAACGTACCTTCCGAAGCACGGAGGAGCTCAAGGTAGAAGATTTTTGGTCATCCAATGACCGACCATTGAGAAAGTTCCTTAACTTCAACGATCGCCGCCAAACCCGCTAACCACCCGCGCCATCGACCTATTACATGTTTGTGTGATAAATACGAGCATTTGTACTCCCAGTCATGGATGTTTAATATTATGTATATCTGTATAAATATACTTATATACCGCCCGTTACCCTAGTATCACATAACACAAGCTTTACAGTGCTTACTTTGGGGCTAGGCTAATTGGTGTGAGTGTCAGAAATATTCGAATGGATGTTCACTGCAATGAATGATTCATTTTTCTTTATTCACACTGTAGAGCTAGAATAACATAAAAAAGCTTCTCTTCAAGTCGTCTAATGAATTCGTTCGTTTTGTAGTGTGTTCGCATGCCAGTACTCAAGACAAAAGTGCTGATTCCGAGTAAACATTCACTTTTGTCTATTAATTTTTCGTTCATTCGGAGTGAAAGTGTATGATGTCGAATGCCGATATCTAACACTGTTGGATAGGTTCATTAATGAATTTATTCAACAAAGACAAAAATTAATTTAAAAAAAAAATCATCGTCTGCTATTACCCCATACAACATTTAGGGCGTTTTCAATTTATGCGTTTCTTGACGGCCTGCTGCGGTGCCGAAGCGGTGCGTTTGTCATATAGCGTAGGGACGATCCTTTTTTTTTCATACAAAACGCGTGGTGCGGCAACAGTCCTGTTGTGGAGCGTTTGCGGTACCGGCGCCGCACTGTTGCCGCACCGCGCGTTTTGTATGAAAAAAAAAGGATACGCTGTACGACAAACGTACCGCTTCGGCACCGCAGCAGGCCGTCAAGAAACGCATAAATTGAAAGCGCCCTTATAAAGGAATAGACTAACAGCAGTACCCTTTGGTTGCGATTCTGGCACGTCGCTGGTCCTCTCGTATCTCGCGGCGCGTGCGAATGTACGGATGGAGCACGAGCATCGCCAACTTTACACACACTACCACTGCACAGTAACTACGGCGGCAACCCTTTTCATGCGCTAATTTACAGTAACGTTTTTTGTTGACTTCTTCTGTCTGGTTAATATTGCGTTATCGCAAATCCATCAATGTCATAGGATTTTATTATACCCTTTATTGCACACACACAAAAATAGTACGATACAAACATTAACAAACGTAAGAACCGTAATTTAATTAAATTTTGAAATAGAGATATTTTCAAAACACACCGGTAATAAGAAATTAATTTGTTGAAAGTTAAGTATTTCTACGCAACTTTCTATGCACTATTCTTCCAAATAATCTACATGACTTATATGGCCGTTGATGCTTTGTTTTCAAACGTAGTCCACTAACAGTCACTAGGTTAATTATTTTTTAATTGTGAAATATAAGCACAGCATTCAGGTGACCGATAAATCACAAATTCTATTTATATATATCACTTTTTGTTCCCTTTAAAAATCAGTACGCGAAACATCACTTGTAGGAGCATTACAAAAAATACGATATCATCACTGCATTTTCGTAACTGTCTAACCAAATAGCAAGAGTGTTATATGGAACTAAGACGTCGATTAAAAGTCCAATTAAGAAAACACAATACAAGAGCATACTCCGATTGGAAGTTATAGCACGATGGCATTTAATACTTCATTTATTTATTTATTGTTACTTCTCAGAATTCACTCACGAGCACTTTACTTGAGCCGATATAGCGTGGTATACTAAAAATTATTAGTGCTATGTATATTTTGAAGGCTCATAGGAACCGCAATCAGCGACCGAGAATGTAATACAATCGCATCCAACTACGATACAATATTCAATACGGTGAAATAATACTACTGTATGTGTGATGTTGAATTCTTACATCCATGTTGTATTTTGACCCATACTTTTATAACATTGACAAATTGAAGAGTTGAAGTTCGTTTATCATTCAAGCCCAATTGAGAAGTGCAACTTCTTCTTGTCTTTTTGATTAGGGCAGATAAATTTTAATAGATCCTAAATGACCTCGTACTGAGCAAGAAACTAACAAAATTTTGCATTTGCTGAAATTTAATAAACACTGTTAGGTGTAGCAAATCACTCCTAAGATAGTTCTCACAAATTTCCGAAATCATTGTCGGAATGTTATTCGCAAATTAATAGAGACAATACCAATTGTACAAGCAAACCCTGTACACATACATATTGTTAGCGAGCCGTAAACCGTCGGTTGTATTTACTTACGCGTGACATAAACGTTATCGCGGCTTATCGACAATGCAACTCCTGCGCACGCGACGCCTATTGGAAGGAACTACGGTCGATTGGACCTTACAACCGTTTTATATAAACGGCGATTTTTAAACATTTTGGATATTAAGACAATAAAATTAAAATAATGTATGTAGGGTGCACTGTTAATAGAAATTTTGAATATCTAGGTCACGGATTACTAAGGTGCGGTTCCGTACGGGCGCTCAAATTGGAGCGGAAAATTTAGTTTGCTTTAAATGACAAAAAAACCTCTTTACGCGACTATTTCTTGTTTGCACTTAAGATGTTCTAGAGAACAAAAAAAGATAATGACTAGACCTGAATTGCATTTGAAATACAAGTCTAGTAGGCAATTACCATTTTAATAGTATTAAATATTTGTCATTTTATGACCCTAAAATTAATCATTCTTAAAAGAAACATTCCGTACTTCGCAATCGTCCGCCCTAGGCATATTGAAGTCGCATAATATTCATTTATAACACATTTGCTCATAAAGCGTCTCTTATTGCACCAATTTCAATATCATAATCTATCACATTACACAAGCGTGCGGTAATGTAAAGTAAAACGCACGCCTTATTATGTTCCCTCTAAAAACGAACGATACTTTTTTAGCTTACTTACTAACTTAGCAAAGGGTTTTTATGTCAGAAAGGTAGTCAACATTTTCTTAATAAAATTAACTTTGGGAGATAAAATATAATATATTAACACTTAATTCTTTAATTTGATTCATTTTGACAATAAATTACAACCATGGTTGTATCGATAAGAAATTTACAAAATATTAATTTACTTTATTAGTAACACTGGCTGTTTTTTGTTCCTTTGCCTAAAAAAGGGTTGAGCGATGCGCGCGCCATCGCTAATCTGTGAATTAGTTATTCTTTTCGCTGTATTGTTTTTATTTGAAAATATTGTCAAGTAGTAACAATTTTTTTAATTTGACACCGCCAGAAGTCGAAAAAGGCTACGCTAAGCCTCTTGCCCGAAAAATCCACGGATACTTACAGTCAAGCGTATCAAAATTTCTTCTTATGAAAAAAACAATCAAAGGTACAAATTCATTTTCAGAAAGTACGTGCGTAGGTAGTATTATTTCCTCGCAAATGTGTCAAAAAAACGTAAACGACATACGTGCGGTTTGATAATTACAGCCTCTGCCTTCTTATAGCCCTCACCTACGGCTCGGGCTAACAATATCGCTTCGGCTGTAATTCTCAACTTAGCGCGCTTATAATAATAATAATGTACTATTAAACAACTCACCTTTCGCGGTCTCTTTCCCTCTCTCTCTCCCTTTCCCTCTCGCGCAATTCACGTTCTCGTTCCCTTTCGCGAATTTCCCTGAAAACATGTATCGGTTATAGAAAAATCCTTCAAAACTAAATAAAATAACATTTCCGGCGGCACCATACCTCTCTCGTTCTCTCTCCCTCTCGCGTTCGCGTTCTCTGTCCCGCTCCCTCTCTTCTCTCTCCCTCTCGCGGTCCTTATCGCGGTCATCTCGTCGTTCCTTGCCCCTGATCAATAGAATATGAGATTATATCGTTGTATTCAGTAAGAATACCATAAACATCTATGTAGATGTTTCAAAACAACTCATTTGGATATGTATCCGAGTAAGTCGTTTTGAAAGTAGTAAGAGATATGATCTTTATCGCTAAGTTCATAAAGTTCAACTTCACAATATATTCTCTTAATTATGAATGTGACGTTATAGACTTAGGCATAATACAAACAACAACCCTTTTGAAAGCTGGGCGAGCGAGACTGATCAGAATTTAACTAGTTAAAAAAATTTGACGTGATACAATTATGAATTAAAAAACCATTGGGGAGAGTTAAAACGAAGTTCGAACTTATTTAACAGACGTACATATACGTATACGTATAAATTTAATAGGTCAACGTAAGAACTATCAACATTTGATCAAAGTTTCTAGTTTCTATGAAGGTTCATTGAGAAAGTGGCTTTTAAAGCAATTCACCTGGATCCGCTTCGCCTGCGCCTGTCCTTGTCCCGCTCGCGCTCCCTGTCGCGGTCCTTGTCTCGCTCGCGCTCCCGCTCCCGCTCCCGCTCGCGGTCTCGGTCCCGCTCCCTGTCCCTCTCCCTGTCGTCGGGGCGCTCCCTGTCCTTGCCCCTGTCCCGCTCGTGGTCGCGCTCCCTATCCTTGTCCCTGTCGCGCTCCCTGTCCTTGTCCTTCTCCTTGTCCCTGTCTCGCTCCGGCTCGCGTTTCCGTCGCACCACCACATCCGCCTCCTCCTGCGCCGAAGCAAACGCTCCATCAACGCCCGCGTTCATATCGCGTCGCCCGCGAACTATCGACGCTCTACGCCGTGATCCGCGCCGCCGGGCACTCGGTGCGTTCGGAACGGGTTTCGAGGACTCTCGCTTGTCTCCAAACATTTGACGGCAGCGCCCCTAGCGGAAACTACAGCGCTGCCATCAAACGCGTAGACACACAGCGAGATGGAATCTAACCGAAGTGGAACCTACCGGGCGCGCCGTTCGGCACTTTAGCTACGCTTTAAATAAATTTCAACTATCGAAAAAGTGGGTGATGAAAAATAAAGTTTGGGAAGTGAATTACGAAGAGAATCGCAAATGCTTAAAATTTAGAATTAAACTATTTTTTATGATGCTTGAAATCTTATAATATCGGTGGGAAGAAAAAAACTCTCGTCAGACGATTTACCAACTAAAGTATTAGCATTGGGATTGAAACAAAAAAAGTTCTTTACTTGTAACCGAAATCGCGTTCCTTCCGAATGAAATTGTACGTTCACTATTAATGGTATAGAGGTAGGGAAAGTACCACAGAGCGATAGTCGCGGGCGGACGCGGCGCAGCGCTAACACTAAAGGCAGAATTACACAAACAATATACAAAAAGTAAATTTCCGAATCCGCTCTCATTCACTATTTTCAAAAACATACACGGATAAACCTTAATGCATCTGATGAGTCTCAAAACATGTCGTAAAAAAACAAGACCCAACAAATAAGTTAGCTTCGTCTGATGTGAAAGGTTGTCTTATTCAGAAGATTGCTGATGCTGCAAAGAAACCAGTCTCATAATAAACCCAATTCCTTACTCCATTTAAATCCACCAAGACAAGCCTCCTGTAGCAAAAAACAACACTGTACAGTATAGTTGTTATTCAGCTGCAACCTCTCTGCTGGGTGGTGGAAGCAAGTATCTCAGACTGCCACAATAAGTTACATACAGCACAAATGATTTATAAAAAGCAAGGTCAGTGAGAACTACTCTCACGGAAAGAAATGAAATTATACTCTATTCGAATTGAGTTACGGAAAGCTCTTTTGAATCGTCCAATATTTTTCCGACATCAGGACATTTTTAAGCTAAAAAGAACAACCCATTGAATAAATCCATCAGCATTTAACATTGAGTAATGAGTGAATGAGTGAATGAGCGCGGTACCGGTTTATGTGAAGGTGCAGTCATTCATACGCGCGCAGACGCTCGTCCTCCGCTCCCTAGTTGTCAACCTGTGGGAACCCACGGCTGCTGGCTGTGCAACGAACCGCCTCCTCTGTCGTGTGGCCTTCAAATATCTCTGTACTATCGGAAAAGTCTCGCTGTCACACCGGCACCTAACTCATCTACACTATCACCGGTATTAAAGAAAAGTTAGTCATAAAGTGTGAGAGATGTGAGTGTGAACTCGCTCGCGCATTGTCAAGTCTCCGATGACTGCGCGAAGGTCAAGGCGAACGCCGAGATATGAAAAACCTGAATCGAGTACTTCGGCAGAGTACCTAGGTATCGAAATGTATCAAACCATTGAGTACTGATACGGAATAACAACCAAAGTGCAGCTTCTGAGCTCCGAAGTCGCGAGTCGAGTAGTTATAACATTAACGAGTAACAAAACATCTCACTGATAACTCTTTGCGGTGTGTTAAGAATAATGAACCTACAATCAGGTTATACTCCCATTTTATGGATATAAGTTATAAAATTGGTGTAGACATACCAGTCTATGTAAACAGCCAGGAGCCCATAAGTGTGGAGTCAAACAAACTGACGTTATCCTAAAAGACTCAATATATGAGGACAAACTTTTATCAAGAATACATTATAGTGTGATGATATGAATGCGAAGGAATTAATAAAAAATTAGTAGATTTATTTTTTCTTAATTTTTTTCATCGGACAAAGGGTGCCGAATCCTTAACCCCATACAGACTAATGGTTCAATGGTCGGTTTGGTCGTTAGAACAAATACAATTGCCCAGGGAATTCGGGTAAACGACTAAATGTAAATTAATGTAGTGGAGTACGCCCAAATTTGGGTAGTTTTCGTTTCGATTACCCGACACCGTCTTCCAGCTCGTATTCCAGTATAGATATTGTTCCGGGTGCCCGAATTCGAGTAACGTCTTTCGAGCACTCGAATACGAGATAACGACCAAGGCAATCGAGCCATCATCCTCAGTGCTTTAACTTTCCCAAAAATTGAGCCGCGTTCACCGCTATATCGACCACTCGATTATACGTCCAATTAGCTGGTCATTTGGAACACAAAACTGCACCAATTTTACTCCCAGAACTTACGATAAGTTTAACCTGACGCTAAAATCGGTGAACGAAATCGCGGAAAAATACCGTCACTTCTTCGCGTATTAAAAAAGGAATGGCATGTCCTGCAAATTTACATAGATCGGTGACGCTAAAACGAATGAACGAAATCGTGACAAAAATGTCACTCGTTCCCAAACTAAAGGAGTGGCAAGTCTCCTAAGTCTAGTTGAAGGTTAGGGTGTGTCTGTGTGTGTGTGTGTGTGTTTGTGTTATATCGCTGAGTGCTTTACTCACGGGCGGGGGAGGGGGGTGGAGGCGGCGACGTGGCGGCGGCGGCGGCGGCTCCTCGCCCCTCGACGACCACCAACTCAGCAGGCGCCGCAAACATCGCACGACACACGCATGCGCACGCACTACACCCTAACACTTGTACGACCTACCACTCTTGTGACACTAACACGCGACTTTCGATCCGATAATAGAGGTAAACTATGGTTTGTAAGTGAAAAAGGACGAGTCGTTTCTAGATTCTTATAAGTCGCAATCGAAATGTGAAAGAGAATGTGAAACGGAAAGTAACAGATTCGTGAAATTACAATTACCATACTAGGTAAAAGAGACTTAAAAGTTTTGAAAAATTACCTACGAATCGTTCGCATGTGGAGTGTGATTTATGGTAAATAGCCTTAACGGCCGAACGACCGAGTTCAGAGTCGACTTCTTATGTCAGAATTGTGTGACGATACCCAATCACGCCGAAAAGAAGATTAAGAGATAGATTCACTGTGGTCTTCGTTTAGGTGGAGGTTACTTTACGAAACCCAACCTTTCTTATACGTAGTAAAAGACATTAACATGGAAATATTGTTAAATTCTTCTATTTGTTGAAATAATTGCTTTTTAGAGGATTCCTAACTTGAGATTCTAAATGAAATCGCAATAACGTATCAAGTAAGTTTTTAAAATCTAAAACAGTGATAAGCTTTTGTCCACTGCACTGTATGGATAGTGTTATTTAGGCAATATTGTGTATTATTAGAGCGTGTATCGTGCGATGCCCGCGGCGGGTCGCTCGTCCGCCACTCACGAATGCGGAGTCGCGACCGGGGCCACCTCGATCGAGACCACTTACGACCAGATTGTATCAACCACCACGTTTACAGGGACCATGTTCGAATGTCTTACATGACTTTGCTCGAAAGAAAGGGGAGAATAGTGTTAGGAAAAGAATAGGGAAGGTGAAAAGAGGCATATTTCTTCAATCTGATAGCTTAAAGCTGCGATTCCGTTTAGCGCTCCGAACAATCCTGAGTGAGAAAACCTTTGTGCGCTCGGTAAATGAAACCAAAAAAGCGAGCCAGCGAGTTCAAAGATGTTTGACTGCACTTACTGAACGAACGCTTTGCAATCTTGCACAATCATCAATGGAAACAGAGTCAGTCAGTCAGAATCAAGTGTTGATTTGAGCATTCCAACAAATGTTTAATCATCAAAACTGTTTAGAGCGCTAATTGGAAATGCAGCATTAGACGACAGGATTGAAGCATCATTAATCTTGCTATCATCGGTGATACACGAATTCGGAGTTTTTTAATTTGCTAATGACTAATAAACTGTTTGTGGGTTCACAGAATCACAAGTTCTTCTGTTGTTTCATAATGTCATTAATTTTACATTGCAACCAATCAAAGATTTTAGAATCTTTTTCAATGTGCTTGTCTACAAATTACTATATCACTACTAGACTCCTGCATATTAGCGAGTGAAGCCTAGATTTCAGTTGAGATACGAGAATATCGAAAGCTTATTTTACACCCATTTTAAGCAGAATAGCCTTTAAATTCGTTAATCTAGGAACCAGGAAAAGGACAAATGTGTTTTCTTCTACCACAATCTTGATCGGGAAAGCTGTCTCGAGCGAACGTGAGCCGTTTCTATGTTAAGATGCATATATATATCTATATATCATATAAAGGTGTGGATGTATCAGAACCGCCGGTGGCCCTACGCAACTACGGGACCCGCGGGCCCCAAGCATTAACGGGACGGTAACGAACCATGTAGGACAACACGCATGAATTAAACACAAAACAACTTTACATAAACAACTGCAATTAATATAACAATGGCCGGTGACGATTTCCCATCAATTAAATCAGCAAAACTTAGCGCTGAATTTGGACTTTATAAGCGACAAAACACACACATCAAAGTGGAGAAATTGTCAACGGTCAAAGAAAAAATGTTTAGGAATCATGTTGTGTGTTTCGGTTTGGGCAGGTATACAGACGAGCTTAGTCGATCTAAATAATATAAACAGATGTTTATATATTATTACGTTTTCAAAGAAATATTATGTATGTATAAAAGTTCACACATATGTAGTATTAATTTAAAATCTGTAATAAATATTAGTCAATCACTAAGTTCGTCGAATCATGCTTGTGTGGCATATCAATGATATAAAATACGATTCTATAATATGTGTGAATTTAGACTTTGGAATTTTCTCGTTTTAAATGAACCTCCAAACGTTTGAAAATAAAATATGAATTTTTACTAAAGGATATTTAGATGAGTGTGTTTAAATAAGTGTAAGATTGTGATGTGACTCATGTGTCTACATTTGTGGATAGTATGTTCTGTTGAATCATTTAAAATTATTATAAAGGGTATATTGATTTTGACTAACTTAACGCAAACATTGTGAATGCTATTATAAGATACTATATAGTATCTTATAGGAAGTGTTGTGTATAATGAAATGTGTGAATATTGATAATATTTTTAGCTTGAACTTTGAAACATTTAAAAATGATACCTACTATACGAATTTAATCCTATTTGATAGCATAATAAATGTGGTGTTTGGAGGGCAAGGCAATGTGAATTTGTAGTGTAGTCATTGTAGTGTAAGTAAATGCATAAAGTGTAAGTGTTGTCTATGAATGTGGCTGTTTTAAAAAAAATATACATTTGAGTGTCTTTAAATCAAGTGTATACAGTTATTCGCCGTCAGTGTGAGGTATTTAGTTTTTAAAGTCTCAAAACAGAAGACACTAGTCGTGACCAATAGAAAGAATGTTAACGTGTAGATAGTGTAGTGTTTATCGATCGGAAAGTTAGTTAGTGTAGTGTAACTCGGTGGACGAAAGGTTTATAATATAGTGTTCGGGTCATAATACTTGTGTTTTTATAGTGTAGTTTTAATCTAGTCAATGCGTAGATAGTGTACCGTTTATCGAGTGGAGGATAACAAGCGTAGTGTTTGTAGTGTATTTGTGGGCAAAAGGCCTGTAATAGTGTTCGGATCATAATGCTAGTGTTACCGTAGTGTAGTTTTTATGTCGCGAATGGGAGGCCGATATATAGCGTTGGAAGGTCACGTGGGTAGTGTTCGTGCAGTGTAGGTGTGAGCTCGCGATGGCGCGGGAGTGACAGTGATATTGATATTGATAGAGTGATAGAGTGATAGAGTGGCGGGGTGGTATATATGCAGCGGGCGGCACTCACCTACTCACCTAGGCAGGCGGCGGGCGGCGGCGGCGCGGCACCTGCCACCGCAACAGATCAGCGGAGGGCACACCGCACACCGCACACCGCGCCCCACGCACCCATACACCCATACACCCGTACACCCGCTACACCCCATACACCCGCGCACCCATACACCCAACGCACCCGCACGAAGCCCCAAACTGACGCCCTACCCCCGTCGGACTAGTAAACTGTATCACATATTTTACGTTCCTATTATGCTTTGGCAACCCAGGTTCAACACTTGTAATGAATGAATGATGCCGATGTACGTGTGCGATTGAAACTAACTTCAAACCTCCGTAGATAACCCGTACATTGCTGTATTTTAAAACAAATCCTAATTAATAGTAAAACAAGTATTATATATTTTTTCTATTTAAACAAATCCTTGACTATAATAAAAACGGTAGAATTAACTGGAATGAAACAGTTTTAAAACTCGCGTTGTCTTTATTTAAAGTATAAGCGGAAAGAAGACAACGCGAGTTTTAAAGATAGACTTAACCTCCAAACAAACTATTCAATTTATTTCATAAAATTTGAAGAAAAAAATAATAAAAATTTCAAAGAAAAAGCGTACTCATAAAACCCCGGCTATCAAAATTCTACGCACATATATTGAGTTTTATAAATGAGTAGAGGCGTATCGATGCGTGGTTGTAGTCGAGCGGTGTGCATGTGCCCTTCCGCCTGCATTAAACAGTGTTGTTGTTGGTTACAAGGTAAGGTACGTAAGGCAGGGTGGGTACATCGACACGTGGACAGGAAGGTAAAGAAGGGTAGAGGAGGGGAGAGGTGGGGTAGAGGGGGCCAGTTTTACCTTCATGCTCTCGCGGAACTTGCCGATCTCGCGGTGGATGACGTCACGCTTCTCCTCGGAGATGTCGGCCTCTTCCAGCACGCGCGCTGTCTTCGATATCGCCTCCTCTGTTGCACCACGGAAATGGACACCGTTACTCATGGTTTTTACATTCGTCTTATTTAGTATCCGCATAAGTTTACAATAAAGTTTGAGTTTCTTATAAGGTATCGGGATAAAAGAAATGAGTACTCCAATTTGATGGCGATTCACAATAGACATATTTCGTACCGGCTTGCAGCAGTTCCCTGAATTTATATGCTACATTGACTAACAATTGTGTTACAAAAAGAGAGAAACACAACAGCTTCATTGAGGTCTGTGTATCCCCAAAATATCAAATAATAATAATTATTAATGTGTGATGCAATGATTAGATGCGCCATAATACATAATATTAAAGTCAATATAATCATTTTAATTCATTTGTCACTTCATCATCATTCATCATGAGAAATTATGAAATGTAATCCCAATAAGGAACTCATTAGTGCAGTAATTTGATAGTAACTGTTTTACTTATAAAAAGACGCTATACTTTAGTCTGATTAAAAGTACAAGTCCGAACTGAACCGTAGACGACAGACCGCAGCTGCAGACTGCAGGTGACACTACCTACTAGTTTCTATGAATCTCTTTGAAATTGATTCGGAACGCGGCGACATACCGCGGCTGCACAATGCATATAATGCACGGTCAGCCGCAGAGTCGCCTGCGGTTGTCGCCTGCAGCCCATTGCGGAATTGTACCTTTAAGGTACAACTCCTATCCTAAGGTCCAGATAGGATCCCACTCACCCTTCTGCAGCGCCTCATAGTTGTTGATATCGTCCTGGTAGTCGGCGGTGATCTGCTGCAGCCTCCTCTCGGCCGCATCGTCGGCCTGCCTCTGCCTCGCGTCCAGATAGGACTCCCCCTCCGCCCCGGGCCCGGGCCCGGCGCCCGTCTCCTGGCCCAGTCGGGACCGCTGCTCGGCTAAACCACAAATGAAATTTTGTTTAGTGTTGCCCCTCCATACATAACTATTTCTATAGCGATTTGTCACTTTGGCAAGTCTTTCCTATCTATGGAGATTATACTCGAGTCGAATATATAAATAGCATGGTAATGCTAATAGTGAAGTGAAAAGAGTTGAATCTGATATGCATTTAAATATAATAACAAAGCATGATGTTTTGAAGATTGTACGGCACATGGAAAATAAAACCACGTTCAGGTATGATGAAGTACCCATTGGAGTGATAAAAGAGCACATCAACATTTTGGCTGAACCATTGGCTTGCTTTTATAATAAATGTATTGCACAAAATTTGTTTCCTGAACAACTCAAAATAGCGAGGTTGCTCCCACTTTATAAAAAAGGAAATAAACTAGACCCGAAAAACTACAGGCCTATTTCTATTGTCATGCAGCAGCCTCACGCATCGCAGCGCGGCCTCGCAGTGATATACTCACTCTTATAGGAGTCGACGAGCGCCTGCATCTTGCCGTCGGTCCGGGCCAGCAGCCGCTTGTCGGCGAGGGGCCGGTCATGCAGGAGCCTCACGCATCGCAGGGCGGCCTCGCAGTGATATACTCACTCTTATAGGAGTCGACGAGCGCCTGCATCTTGCCGTCGGTCCGGGCCAGCAGCCGCTTGTCGGCGAGGGGCCGGTCATGCAGGAGCCTCACGCATCGCAGCGCGGCCTCGCAGTGATATACTCACTCTTATAGGAGTCGACGAGCGCCTGCATCTTGCCGTCGGTCCGGGCCAGCAGCCGCTTGTCGGCGAGGGGCCGGTCATGCAGGAGCCTCACGCATCGCAGCGCGGCCTCGCAGTGATATACTCACTCTTATAGGAGTCGACGAGCGCCTGCATCTTGCCGTCGGTCCGGGCCAGCAGCCGCTTGTCGGCGAGGGGCCGGTCATGCAGCAGCCTCACGCATCGCAGCGCGGCCTCGCAGTGATATACTCACTCTTATAGGAGTCGACGAGCGCCTGCATCTTGCCGTCGGTCCGGGCCAGCAGCCGCTTGTCGGCGAGGGGCCGGTCATGCAGGAGCCTCACGCATCGCAGCGCGGCCTCGCAGTGATATACTCACTCTTATAGGAGTCGACGAGCGCCTGCATCTTGCCGTCGGTCCGGGCCAGCAGCCGCTTGTCGGCGAGGGGCCGGTCATGCAGGAGCCTCACGCATCGCAGCGCGGCCTCGGGGCCGGCGAACTCGCAGAACCCGAAGGTGGAGACGCGCTTCCAGCTCAGCACGGGCCCGCACGCGCCCAGCAGCGCGCGGATCATCGCGTCCGGCGCCCGAGACGTTATGTTGCCTGCGGATGCGGAAACAAACGATCATATATACTATCGTCATCATCATCAACCCGCGCTCGTCCACTGCTGTACATAGGTCTTCCCTAATGCACGCCCCTGCTCCCTATTTTCTGCCATTCTCCTCCAGCCCACTCCAGCCAGACTACGAATATCGTCATCCCGTCTTGTCTCAGGGCGTCCTACAGTACGTTTACCGAGTTGCAGTCTCCACTCGAGAACTTTCTGGCTTCAACGGCCGTTAGTTCTGCGGCTAATGTGACCAGCCTACAGCCACTTCAGTTTGATAATTCGGTGGGCTACGTCGTTCACTGTCGGATTACATCATTTCTGATGCGGTCCTTCAGGGAAACTCCGAGCATAGCCCTTTCCATAGCTCTCTGAGCGACTTTAAACTGGTAGACTAGTCCAGCCGTGAGCGTCCACGTCTCGGCGCGGTATGACATAACTGGGAGGACGCACTGGCCGAAGACTTCCAACTTGAGACATTGAGGGATAGGTGACGAGAAGACTTCACCCATCCCTCAATGTCTCAAGTCGAAAGTCTTCGACCAGTGCGTAACATATACAATACTGACACTATGTGACATATACAATACTGATAACTGCCGTGAACGCGACCGGTATAACCTGCCGACCTATTCGCTAACTTATTTGACCTTTACAGTATGTAACTAAATAAATAAATATTTCCAACACTCTCACACCAATTAGCCTAGCCCCAAAGTAAACACTATAAGGCTTATGTTATGGGATGCTAGGGTAACAGATAGAATACATATATAAGTATATTTATATAGAAATACATATTAAATATCCATGACTGGAGTACAAATGATCGTATTCATCACACAAACATCTGCCCCCATCGGGATTCGAATCCGGGACCTCTCGAGTCGGCGACACCATGAAACCCGGCGTACGAACCACTCGACCACGGAGGTCGTCTAAAGAGAAAAATGCATAATCATCGATGCTTTTCAGAACAACTATTTAAATGGCGTTATAATACAGCAGGAGTGGATCACTAAATAGCTCAGTGATTATCTGTTAGCGAATACGCCTCCTCGTCGAAACGTCGAGATTAAGAACGTATATTCTATATAGCCCACCTGATTATCAACTAACGTTTATTAAACAGCCCAGAGTATCCTCTAAGTCGAGCTAAACAGTGGAGTCCTGAAGCCCTATTTATGCACCCAGAGAAATAAAGTGGTAGTGTCATTTAACTATAGTTTTATGTATACTTCCCCAGACCGATGCTACAATACAACGAGTAAAGTATAACGGAATTCCGCTATACTTTACTCATCTTTTGAAGCAGGAAGCAGATGCTTTCAATGCAAGCTAAGAAGTAAAGTAAACGAGTGTAAACCAACATGGGGGCAGCAAATATAATGAGTATTTCCTGTTGCTTCATCACTCATCTACTTACTGAACTATCACACACTTTAGAATCAGGCATTTCTTTTCAAGAAACTAACACGCCTATAACACGATGATGTATAACCCCCTGCACACAGGTGACAGGGCGGGTTCAGTTACTTACAATACAACGCAATAAATGACTTCGTCGGAGGGTAGACCGATATGTCTGCCAATAACAACCTACCCGCAATTTACTTCAGTTACTCCGCGATCATGGCGCTTGCAACAGTGCCAAAATATCGGAAACTCGCTAAAAAACCTATGAACACGGTGACGGGCGGGGGGTCGGTCTCCTTGGCCCCGTTGTTGCGCGTGGGCGGGCGGGATATGACCGCCTTGCCCACAGTTATATACAGTTACCTATGAACACGGTGACGGGCGGGGGGTCGGTCTCCTTGGCCCCGTTGTTGCGCGTGGGCGGGCGGGATATGACCGCCTCGCCCACAGTTATATACAGTTACCTATGAACACGGTGACGGGCGGGGGGTCGGTCTCCTTGGCCCCGTTGTTGCGCGTGGGCGGGCGGGATATGACCGCCTTGCCCACAGTTATATACAGTTACCTATGAACACGGTGACGGGCGGGGGGTCGGTCTCCTTGGCCCCGTTGTTGCGCGTGGGCGGGCGGGATATGACCGCCTTGCCCGGAGGGGGGGCGGGTAACAGCGCCCCCCGCACTCCGCCGCCCCCGTAAGCGCCTACCATCACCTGCAACATAACACAATCTTTGCATACAATATTCCAAGTTAATTGCTACCAAGTAGCTATTTAGCTAGGTAGCTATTTGTATAATTATCATTTGACAGCAGGTTGACTTTATCATACTCCATAAGAAATGAAAAGGGGAGACTGTTGTCAAGTTAACAAATAGCTAATAAGAATAGCCATGTGAACAGCTGGCATGACACCATACGTATAAGTAGAGGTGAACTTTTAAAGCTACATCTCAGACTAGCGTTGCCAGGCGTCCAGTGTAAAGCCGGACTTGGAAACGTTTTTTTATTGCTTGTCTGGAGAAAATAAATGGTGTCCAGTACTTGTCCTCCTTTTGTTAGGCTTTTAACATTTCGCAAACAAGCGAGCTCCAAGCATGACCAAGCGCAAGCGAGTTGACTGTCTGTCACTTTGGCATTTTTTTTGTCATACCTAATATTACTGAGCCACAAAATTCTTAATAATGTAAGGTGTCCTGCCTTTTTACACAATGTCCAGCCAAAGTGTCTGGTCTGACCACCCATTTATTCAGTTTGGTGACCTGGCAACCCTACCTCAGACAATGGAGCCTGCACAGTAGCAATTTTACACACAAAATGTCTATGAAGCAAATTAATTTATCTGTTTTTTATCTAACGAAGTTTACCACTACCTACACCTTGCCTCTCAAATGCTGAATGCAAATACAAATATTTATTAAAATTGACATCACACTGTCAGCTTATAAGCATGGATCCCACACTAGTAGACCCTATATCGTGGGCACCCAATTAATGTAAACAAGATTGCAACAGATACAGATAGAAATAGTAAACTTACAGAAAAACAGAAAATTATATTTGGAACTAGGAGCAGACATATTACCCAGGAGACCTAATTAAAATTATTATCACCTTTTAAGCTGGGTATTTAAAATTGATGTTGGGCTGACCATTTATTCTATTCCACAGAATTGTAAATAGAAATAACAAACAAGTATAACAAACTTGTATTAATCTCAACTACATTCATATAACTCTATTTCTATTAAATGAAAGACATAGATTAACAGAACAAGAATGTTTAGCAAACAATTTTCAGCCATGTTTGCTAATTATGAAAGAATATCAAAGGTATTTTGAACTTAAAAATGCAGTCATAGAAATAATATTTCACAATTTAAATTGCTCATATCTTTCAAATTCTGCTTCTGCTATTAAATGTACAGATTTTACATGTATTTAGATTGCAGAAATTTTTTGAGTACAAAGTGTTCTATTTGAGCCTAAAACTTTTTATAAACCAGTATTAATTACACTTATTACTAATTTACAAACATTTCAATTTTAAAGCATTTGGCATCCCTTAACTCATTTGATTTGAATTTTTTTCTTCAAGAAACAGTTATGAGATATGTTTTTTTATTATTTTTGAGTGATACTAAACGCATGTAGTGAGAAGAAAAGTAAAACGACATGTAAAAAGTAATGGGAACAATGTGAAATGAAACATTTCAGTTTCCGTGAATGTTCTCTGCATCCTTTTGTGTGATTTCAACCCTTTTTACTGACCTTGGCGCGCCGCGCCCCCCAGACTGGATTGCATTACATCTCACTTTGGCTATGAATTTGGAGACTGAATGTTTTTGATATGGCTTTGACACTTTTAGTTAGCCTTAGGGCTAAACTGTACTTCCAGGGTCCAAGTGGTGATACTTCACACTAGGTTAGGTTAGGTTAGGGTTGTGACAATAACGCGCGAGCCGAGCAAGCAAAGTTAGCGTGCCCGGGTAGGAGCTGGCAAAGCGCCAGAAAAAAAAATTGTAAGAGACCTTTTCTACAAAAAAGTTTGAGTATCACCTCTTGGGTCCTGGAAGTACAGTTTTACCGGCCTTAGTCCTGTAGGTCACTTGATAGGTTACATTTTATGCAAAAATTGCAAGTATGAATCTAGGTAGTTGTAATTTTTTTTTATCAAAAAGAAAGCTTTTGTGGGGTTTGTGCACTCTCCACTACTGTTTTTCCCCTCAGACTTAACCTAAGATGTCATCTCTCTCTTGCTTTTTTATGCATATTTTATTTTGTGATTATGTTTACAATTTTTTTTCCTGAAAAAGCTCTGAATCACTGGCAGACGGGGGTTGAATAGGGGGGCTCCCCACCCCCTTCCACGTCCGCAGACCCCTAATGAGGAAGCTAATTTCTAAACTTTTACCGATACAACGTCCACAATGTGCGATATGCTTTTATCCATAGGTTACAGTACTTAACTGTAAACCATCTAGAGCATGGATGGGCAACCTTTTTTCTATAATGCCAATATTCACTTTTAGAATTTTGATGGGCCAAGTTTTTACTCAGGCCACATCCGATTTTTGTTTACTATATTAGGTGTGTTACTAATTGTGCACAGAAATTGTTTATTTGTGATATTGTTACAGTTTCTTGCACTATTATTATACTGAAAAGTTTAATTTTAATCAATTCAGTCTTTAAGACCGACTCTGACCGAAATGATACTTATTTTTTTACGTGGGCCATTAAAGTTATTTTTCCCAGTAGGTGTGTGGCCCAGTAATGAGACCAGCAAATGAACTATATAACACAAAATGATGCACATTGAACATAAAAAAATCTTTAGGGTTAAACTGCTCTGTCAGTAGTAGTATAGTATGTTTATGAATGATACCACAGCATCAAAATCACAAAGCTCGTGACAGTTTGCCCATAAAACCGATACTTAAACGGATTCCTGCCCGGTTTACGAGACATTAAACAGAACTATTTCACGTTGCGGAGGTTATGTTTGATTTGAAAAACTTACGTGCGTGGCCATAGGCATCGTAACTACACCCGGTGCGATTCCGTAGGGCACCAACGGAGGCCGAGGCGGGAACGACATTGTAACAGAAATTATCAAACACTATGCGTTCATTCGTAGTCCGATTGATACAACACCATAAATGAAGTACAAAATTTTAGCTTCCTTCACTTTTGAATACAATATCATTTAAGATAAATACTAACTCGATTACAAAATAACTAATTGATTGAACAACAAAATAGATAAAAGTAAACAAAACTAATAATTATCTGTAACACACGTCTCATACTTTTCTTAAGAATTTTCAGTAAAATCTGCCATATTGTTTTTAAATGACATTTGAATATTTTTTGTCTATGGTGGCTCGCCACCAGGATTGCCAGAAGTAATTTTCTAATTTCCGCCTGATTGAAAATTATTTTAGGCCAAAATGATACCTTTTCAGAAAAAAAAACCTCCAAAACAAGGTGAGGTTTGACCATTTTTCTTCTTTATTCATCAAGCCTAATGAATATTGCTATAAACTGCAATATGTACGTACATTAAGCATGGTTTGTTATTTGCACTCCTATGAGTAGGTAGGATTCTTGATTTTCATGCTAATATCTGTATTATGAAAAGTTCACCGTTCATTAACGAAAAAGCATTATATTGCAATGTGCATTAGCCATAGTATATTTCTGTTCCAACTTTTTACACGACCAAAATTCTTACACGGGGCGGGGCACGAAGAAGCGTGGAAATGGGTTCACAGCACCAGGTTTCGTTATGATTAACATTTTTCCATAATTATAAACGAGGACTCGTGCACATGATGGGTCACTTTTAAATAGTGGGTACTAGGCTAGTTGATCCTTTTTGGAAAAAGGTTTTAAATGTTTAAGAAATGTTCTATTAGACCGAAAAAAAAGTATTATATTTTTTTGAGACCTACAAATCTTTAATTTTAAAATAGACTTTTCACGGACATACAAAAACGCTGTCGGCCATTTTAGTCTATAGATTTCTATGCTCTGACCAAAGACTTATTATATAAAATCTTTGGCTCTGACGTCAACCTGTAGTAAACAAAAACTCGTAAGCAAGTAGAAAATAACATAACTGAGTTTATAATAAAAAAAAAAAATACGTGGCACTCGGGGACTGCCGCGGTAAAGCTATTGCATAGCATTTTATTAATTATTTATTCATGAATTTTTTTTCTTTAATATTAATTCAAGTTTTTTCTTTGATATTAATTCATTTTTTCTTTGAAAACATATTTTTTATTTTATTGAATAAATGAAAAGTTAATATTGTTTAAAATATTTTTATTATCTTACATGCGAGCCTCGTACTGTCGAACCATATACATGCACGTAAAGTTCCAACTAGTCGCGGGCTCGAACTCACTCGTGGATCTGACCAAAAAGCACGCTGTCTCACCTAGCATTATGTCTTATAGAGATAGAATCAGTAATGAGCAGTTAGCAGCTAGTCTACAGCATACGTCTAGTCGCACGCACACAAACACAGTGCCGAAGTCTGTCGAAATGAAACGACGTTAGACGATGCACGGCTTTCAAAGCCGCACCGCTGTGCCGGTCGGAGTGGGGGGTGTTAAAAGGAAGAAAGAAAGAAAATAATTTTTATAAACCCTTATAAAATACAACATGTTAAAAGGAACTCATACAGTAAGGGCTAACCAGAACCCTGCCTCAGCGTTAGGTGATACGACATTGTGTCGCGCTAGCGCTGATATTCTGGTAGGGCCTGCTTGATGCGGCGAACGTTAATCCCGTGGCAAAAAATTAACACACTGCGCCGTTTAGATTGATATTAGAATGGCGAAAATTGTGTTCTATTGGTATATGCACTATCGCAAGGTTTTTTCGTTACAGAATTTTTTGATTCGGTCCCCGAGTTCAAAGCCCGCGATAAAAGCTATACAATAGCTTAAAAACATGATTTCTATTAAATACCACGAAAAATAAAGTAATTATCATTATTGTATTGTACGGAAATATAAAAACACATCCTTGAAGACTCCAGGAAAGCTGTGGATTAAAATGCCGAAAATGGATAAAAAATAAAAAAAATATTTTTTTTTTTTAATATTTTTAATTTTTAAGTATGTGACTGCTCGATGTTTAAATCTAAAGAAAATATTACGAGAAAAATAGAATGTTTTTTTTTTTCTTGTAATAGGTATTTTCTTTAGATTAAAACATTGAGCAGCAGCATGCCTAAAAAAAATAAAAGTATAACTTTAATTGCTATTTCTTCTTTCAAATGTTTAATACTTGCAGTTTAAGAAAGGCTTGAAAGAAATGGATACGGCCGTCAGGGCCGCGGTAGCATAATTGATCAGTGCATTCGCCCGGATAGCGAAGGGTGCGGGTTCGAGTCCCGTCTACTGCCCGGTCCGCGTGGATTTTTTTTCTAGTTATATAAACATTTCTTTCTGTTGCCAATTTTTCACCCAGTATTTCCTTTTTTGCGGTAACACCATAGAAAAAACCAAGGCCGTGCCTATAGATCTTCTGATTTTTTGATAATACTGGGACCATCATCAACGCGTGTGTTTAGCTCAACATACTCCCGAACACTGAATAACAGGCATGTGTGTAGAGACAAGCCGATATTGCCCCGACTGCCGTGCACCCTAGATTGTCCCTGCGGCAGGCATGTCAGTACTTAGGCGCTTTAACAAGAAATTGACCTTGAATGACGTCACTGTTGTTTGCCATCTCATTCGTTAGGATTCGTTTTTGATGAATGTGTATAAATCGGGTGGGATTAACTTCTAAAGAAATATTTTAATATTTACAGCCACGAAGAAAATATCTTTAAAACCAGCCAAGTGGGAGTCGCAGTTAGATATTATTATAATATCAAGCAAAAACTTTACCGTTGAATATTTATTTTAATTTTATTATTTATTTTTAAAGTGAAAATACATTTAAATATTCTGTGAATATTTCAGGCGTCTACCAGCTACCTGTTGCTTTTATTAATAAAGAGCAAAAACCGCAAGAAAAATACCACCCGTTGTATGGGATAAGTAAGAAGAGATCGACACAAAAATAAGTTTCAAGAGCGATTTGGTTCTAAGGTATGTCTAATATTTTTGAAAAAAAAAAGATGGGAGGGAAGGATAATTAAACTACGAATGATCACGGACATAATATGATATGACCGTAGATTTAAGCTTCGTCATGAAATTAGGAAGGGCCTACAAGCCTACTAGAGCTTTAATTGCCAAGATATTTTCAATAAGACTATAATAACAACTGTTGCTAAGTAACAGAACCAGATTATCGTTACCTTTTACTGGAGGTTGATTATAATATAATAGTTTGGTGCCATAGATGAATGATTGGTGCGATGTATACCGTATATTCTATACAACCACTTTCAATAATTATAGAAACTGGTCATACAGATACACGGTATACACCCCGGCAAACTTCTTGAGCAATTACGTAGATAAGGAAGCCATCGCAGTAGCAATTTTACTTATACCGGCCATACACACTACGAGAAATCGTTACGATCAGACTGTACAGTTCGAACGGTACCGATAAAACGTAGCGTGTATGTTATAAAACTGCACAGTTTCCTATACTAAACGATATCGTATAAACTGTTCCGTTCGAACTGTACAGTCTGATCGTAACGATTTCTCGTAGTGTGTATGGCTACCATTAAGTACATACATAAACTTGTACTGCGTAAGTTTATTTGTCTATGTATTGCACATAGAGTAATTGTTATGTATTGCATAAGAGTTTGCCGCGATTTAAAATTTCAAATCGGAACAGGTAGTACCTACTTACATCCTGAATCTAAGAATAGGAATTAAAAGTCAGGATAGGTTACAAATGAAACAAATGCCTTACTAAAATTGATTTTATTGCTATTAGCCGCACATCAAGGCTTTTATATCACAGCGTTGTAATTGTGTCTAAAGATTACAAAAACAAATTTTCCTTACTTTATTGAACATTTTTATGTTATACACTTACTAATACCCGCACTTTTATTTGGCTATTCGTATTTGCTATTTGTACACTTGGCGACAGTCTGTCTTTATCATGCTTCACAAGGAATAAAAAGGACAAACTGATCCTGATGTCAAGTTTACAAACAGCAAACACGAATAAACAAATAAAGTGCCGGCATTAGATTATAACCAATGCCAATAATGGCCAATATGTAGAATTTCCATAGTTGAGTTGAGTCAATTGATAAAAATAATAGTATCTCGACACTGTACTAAATATATAATTAAAAATCATAAATTCGCGACTGTCGCGCGAATCTGTTTGATATTTTATGTAACAAAAAAAAATTAAAATATTTACTTTCTTTTTTAATTTTTTTAGGTAACTTTCCCCTCGACCCCTCCTCACGACCCCTGAACCTCAGAAATTTCAAAAATTGGGTTTAAATTCAAATGCAGGAAAAAAGTCGATGTTTTAGGTGACACTGACCCCCAATCACCCTGGACCTCGTAATTTTCAAAAATTGGATCTGAGAGATTTTTCAGATTCAGGAAAAAAATATTTAGGTAACCCTGACCCCACCGCAATCCCAAATCTGACCCCAGATTCGGATTTAGCGACTACTAATTACTGCATGACCATGTTCCTTGGCAGGGATCAAAAGATAAAACAAAAAAAGAAAATAGGCAAGTAAAATTGTTAAGACTGCAATTATAAGGATAAAATATAAATACATAGTTAAGTTATACATACATTTCCCTTGTTAATAGATTTGCAATAATATGGCTTAAGTATCTACATTATTTATTATAAAACCACACAATAATAGTTACACAGAAATAAAAAATATTAATTTTATAAAAATAGACAAGTATTTTCATAACAATATTTAAACATGTGAATTTGAGTTTATTGCTTTATTGATTACTTAGACACATGAATAATTAGACAACAGATCTTATGTTATTACAACACAAATTACTCCATAATAATAACATCATAAAACATAACATAAATTATTTTGTATTTACAATAACTAAAAATAGGTAAACAATTAAAACACACAAAACATTGTGCCACTTTCTAAATACATAATTATATTATTATATATACTTTAAAATATCTCACTTTTACCACATGAGGAAAGAAATGAAACGAAACCGAACGAAATAGATTTCAAGATGCAAAACTTTTATACATGTTTCATAATTTTATCAACTTAATTTTGCAATACCCTTACAAGGTCATGTAGTATAACTAAGAATATATGTGACATCTTTTAACTTATGCACATGATAGCAAATAAATAAATAAAAACATAGTAGGGTTGGCACAAAGAAAAAAAAATTAAACAACACTATACTATTATAACCCCTCGTTTCTACCAA